AGTTTTGAGAACAGGACATATTTTGAATCACTTTTTCTTCTTCAAATGTATCCATCATTCATCAATGTAGGGAGTTTCCTCCGTAAACCTCAAATCTCTTCGCTGGAAATTTTCCTGATGAATGCAATAGAAATCCCACCTCCTGTGCAATAAGAAAAATGTTAGAAACAATTTGGCAGCCATTCAATTTCCTCCCCCCCCTTCCCAAGAACCCAACAAACTATTCTTGTTGCGTTTCTCCACAATAGGTCTTTGACTTCCAATCAAATCTGCAGCAGCACATTTTATTGTCGAAATCATCGGTCTAACCACAGGAATATCGTCTGCATTTGCTTCATTCTCAAGGAGCCACAAATCGAAAGCAAAACAAAACGCTGTTGTCAATTACTTAGGTTATTTTGTAACGAGAGCATACACCTGAATAAAATAAGTGTGTCAGTAAATCAGATATCTAATTTCCAGCTTGTTTCTTTCACCTTTAACCTCCACCAGCTTGACTGGGCAAATATAAATCACGCTGGTAATAAATGACTGGTATGTTCACTGTTGCTAATGATGATCTCCAAAATAAGAACTGCAAAATCCACAGGAAGCAGCTGTTGTAGGCATTCAGGCAACCCTCAAGGGAAGTGCTACTTCTAAAACTCTTCCCTTTGCTGCTTTTCATTGCAATCTTTGTATCTGATTTGGATCCATATCAACAGGAGGTTTCAATAATTTCAGCAGTCCAGGTTGTGCGGACTACATCACAAATGTCTCACTTAAAAAAGGTTGAATATTTTGCCGTTTCAGATTGTTTGATGTGGATTTTCCAATGCACGGTGTGTGTTCTCTATTTGTCAAAAATAAACAAGAAAAGAATGAGGATTGTTTTGGCAGTATTTGGACATGTGAGATCTGTGTCATGTGAGATCTGCTAAACGGAGATCAGCCAAGACCAAGAGGTCAGCATATGATCCAATGCGCTATATTTAAAATACATCTGGAGTGCTTTATTTTGCAAAACGACCTTTTCTTCTGACTAATAAAAGACTTTAATAACTCATTACAAAAGCAACTGAAAAATGTCTTAACAAAACAGCTGCTCTTTCAATTCCCCTAATTAGGGGATCTGCGCAACATATATTGAGTTATTAAATCTTTTCCCCCTTTAAACTGTCAAAATTGGTCAAGCTTTCCACTCCACTCCTTAATGCTAAAAGTCTGCTTTAATTAGGTAGAAGAAAATGTGCCCGAATGACCCAAGTTATTGTTATTTTCTAGGGCATTGGGTGAAGTAGCACTGCCCCTCCCAGACATGCTGCTCACTGATTGCTTGTCCACTGGCTGAAAGAAGGAGAACAAGCTGCACTCATCTATTTAGAAGCCAACAACAGGATGGCTATCTGAGCTGATAGCCTGACCAATTAACCATGTAGTAATTCAGCTCATTGTACTTGTTTAGGCTGTAAATAGCAGTGCAGCAAAAAGGGAGAACACTCAACACAATTAACACATGATAGTTACTATTAAATTGCCTGAGAGTTACTTTTAGATATTAAATTTTTTTTACATTTTCAATCAAAATACTAAACACTGTTGTAAAAACATAACTGTGTCTGCAGCAGGAGAAATAGATGATGTTCTGCGTTTCAGTATTTAATTTTTGTGTAAATATTCTTTTACTTTTTGAGCATCGCATACTGGCTCACGTCTACTTATGATTTTGACACTTTAGATTAACAAATGTGGTTTCTTGGAAAAAATGCAACAACATCAGACTTAGATAGTACTCACAACAAGCTTAAGGAGCCCAACAATACCACCCAATGTCAGACAGAATATGCATACCAATTTCACATACACATTTGTGCTTTTTATCAAGGATTTCCTTCTATCTCAAACACAAGGCCTCAGTGTATGACTGTTATCTATTTTCAAGCCCCTGCAGGAGCCTGCGGTTGAACCCTTACAGCCCTTGTTGTGGATGTCATTTTAACTCCATGCTGTTCAGCAGACTGACCACCTGTTTATGGAGGACTCATTCAGAGTCAGAAATAAATCCCAGCCATGATATGAGTGCAGAGTTTACACCTGAGCTAATTCACTGACAACTTCAGAGCAGGGGACACACATTTTCAACAATGACAAGTGGCACTGTGATGTGGGCAGCCATCATTGTTGTCAATCACTGTATGTTACAGTCATAACACAAGGAGCAGAGGGGAAGCCGTAACAGTTCACTCCTCCATCACCGCAATATCTGGTGAAAAATGCTGACCCTAAAATAAGCACAAGAGCCACATAATAGAGAGTTACAACAGCTTTCATCCCCCTTGGCTGTTTTGCAAACTCAAATAAAGAGATGAGGTCAAACAGGGATACCATGCGTCCAGTGTGCTAGCATCCATAGAAAGATGACATCTTCAAATAGCCTAATTTATCTGAATTACTAGCCGATTCAATGCACTCCTGTCCCGTTAAGCACATCCAATCATTAGATATGACATAATCCAGATTTCTGTATGTAAAGACTACAATCAGGACACAAAGGATTGCACATCTTTATCTTGCTTGTTAGGACTCCATCGATTTAACATTAACACTTCCAGAAACTGCTTGGCTGTTCTACTTGCATCAACTGACTCGTTTTCAAGAGTTAGCCATCCCAGCGACGTGATGTTTTTGTAACACATGCGTCGATAACGACGTCTAAACGCGTCCTTCACAAAGATTTTTCTGCACCAGTGCAGGTTATTAGCCTAAAAGGTTACAACACTGGCCTGGGCACCAAGCTGCGGTCCTGTCTTCGGTGCTACAAGCTAGCCCAAACAGCCTCAATGGACTTTGAAGCTGACGCTTCACTGTAAACGTTAGCTAGTGCCGAGCAGCTTTCGCGAACAGAATTTGTTCGGTAGTTTTAGAAGAACTGCTTCAATCCGCTGTCAAAGGACCAAATAGGGAATACGTAGAGACTTTAAATGCGTTTAACGATACCTTCCGAGGCCTTCACCCCTGCCGTGGTATGCTGCTGAAAACACAGTCCGTGTTGGGGACGTGGAGAGCTGGGACCAAAGATGGCGTCCCCTCCAAACTTCCACTACTTTGGATTCTCATCAAGCTACTTTTATATCTGTAGGTGCCGCAGCGCAGGTCGCTCACGCAGACTGGGAAGCCAGCCGTGCAGTGGACCGCATGCTGCTTTTCACACAGGTACAGCGACCACCGGGGACCGAAAACGGGAAATTTGCCGTTCTTTTAGAGCACAAACCTCTACACCTAAGCAGAGCGTCCGGGCTCCAGGGCCACCTCTCTCCGTCTTCGAGTGGTTGTCTGTGAAACGTCACGCAGCGTGTGCAAAAATTCTTCTCGTGGAGGGGATGCGTTCTGTCTGAGCGTGCGTGGCGATGTCCACAATCATGGCTGATAATCACATGTAGAAAATAAATAAAGTTTGGACACTGATAAAGACACACCAGAAGAAAAGATTATTATTATTATTATGATTATTATTATTATTATTAATTATTATTATTATTATCATAAACTAATTAATAAAAATTTAAAATGACGGTCAATATTAAAATGCTATTGATGTAGAATTATTCTAAATATGTAAGTACAACATATTGAACAGAATGATGGAAAAGCAAAACTTGTCGTTGAGGGTGTAATTTAAAAGACAGATTTTAAAAATGTAAAAGATAAATATAGTAATTTTGTGAAATACAGTTACTAAGGCAAAGAAACAAGAATTACTTTTGACACACCCTTTTTGCGTTTTTCACATATTGCCACACAACCACTATTTTCAATGTAGATTTATTTTAATCGCATGTATTTGTGCATATTTCAAAATGAATCATGAGTTTACTTTTTCTAACAAATGAAAATCTAAACGTGTTTCATAAATTTGTGCTTAGCCATGTTTACTGTTAGGCACTCTAAACAACACCCCACTGCAACCAATGAACAACAGGTCAGGAATAAAGTTATGAAAAAGTTTTAAATATTGCTACGTTTTTAAGCAGTATCGCAAGCTTTAAACATAATATGGAACAGTTTTATATCTAAATCCAAAACATGAAAAAAGCACCATACAACTGATTGAACCGTACAACTAAGTTGACAGGGAAGACATTAAAGACATTAATCGAAGCAGCTAAGAAGATAGTTATAACTCTGGAGGAGATCCACAACTCAGCTACTGGAATCTATTGACAGAACTATCAATGTGAACTCTATCTGCAGGAAGAGCTCAGAGCACAGTCAGAATAAAGCATATTCATTAGAATGGCACAGAATGTCCAGAACAAGTCCATAGCAAGATTTGGAAAGTATCAATCCCAAATGCTTCCAATAAATCTGAGGGTACTTGAGCTATTTTGCAAAGATTGGGCAACAGTTTCAGTTACCAGATGTGCAAGAGATAGAGATAAATCCTAAAAGATTTGCAGTTTCAATTGCAGCAAAAGATTTTAATTTGGGAAATACTTTTCAAACCCTGCATTTTTTATTCCCCTTCACAATTATGCTCAGTTTTGTGTAATACTATCACAAAAATGCATAATAAAACACATTGGATTATGCTTGTAGCATGGGCATGAATGCAAAAGACTATTATTAAAGTGCAAAATTTGACAAGGTTAAAATAGTAGGCTGACAGTAAAATCAGTCAGTTCTTCCGATCTGATTAGGTTACTTAACCTCTTTTGTATTGTATATTGGGTGGACAGAAATTCAATGACTAACTAAGCAGTCTTACAAGAGTCATGCTATTATTAATACAGTAAGATGAAAAGACAACAATATGTTTTATTAGTTTATTTGACTTATTTTGCTGCAGATGTTTTCTGTTACAAAACATTTTATAACAGAACAGATTTAAATAGTACAAAACACACACACAAACCATATATATATATATATATATATATATATATATATATATATATATATATATATATATATATATATATATATATATATATATATATATATATATATATATATATACACAGCTGTGCTATTGGGGCTTCTAGAATGGTGATGGTAGAGGTGGTTTCCTGTACTTGCTCTGCATCCACACCCGACGCATTACAACTTTCTTCCCACGGTTCACTTGTAGTCGTTTGTCTTCAAGATTCTGAATTTCTTCAAGTCCAGCTTTGGAAAATAAATTATGGACCTCTTCTGTAAATGTTGCATAAAGCATAATCAGTGGCCTGAACTTTTTTTTTGGCTACAAAAATAATTTCCAAATTCTATCATTTAGATTTTCTTGAATACAGTTTTCAAATTCTCTCTAAACTGGAGAAAAATTGTGATTTCTTTTTTTGTTCAGTGATGTGATACATTAAAAATATATAAAGTCAGAAAATATTGGAATGGATTTACATTATTCACCAGGGAAAAAAGTACTCAACTGCTTTGTTCAGTAAAGCTGAGCTCAGGTCATAAATCCTGGACACCTTCACCATCACAGTACAGTATTATGCATAAAGTAAAGCGTACATTTTTCGGTCATTACCCATACCTTTAGTAAAAAAGTAAACGCAAGTTCCATCTCCACGTGTGTAGAAATTGTCTGATAAGCATCGACCTAAATATTAGAAAAAATATAATAATTACAGGAATGCATATGTATTTGGAAAAATATACTTCTAGGGTTCCTACCCAGTCTAGAAAATCAGCAAAAATATAAAAAATTATTTCAGTACTTTCAAGGTTTGGATAAAAAATGATTAATTAAAAAACTTGTGCTAGCCCATTATTCTAGGGTTGTGTCTATCCTTTCTTTCTTCCTCGTATACTTCCTTTTGTACTTCTTTCCTCTCTCCTTTCTTCTTTGCCACCTTGTCCTTTCACCTGCTCTCATCTTTTTCCTTCTTTACTTCCTTTTACCCGTACTTCTTTCTGTTGTTTCTCCTTTTCTTATTGCCTTGTGATTTTCCTCATTTCCTTATTTCCTGGTGTCTTTCTTATCATTCATTAATTATTTAATTAATTAATAAATTCATTCATTCATTCATCTTCCTTACAACTATATATATATATATATATATATATATATATATATATATATATAATATATATATATATATTATATATATATATATATGTATGTATTTCATGGTCAGGAAAACCCTGGAATTTTTAAATGCATATTGTGTAATAATTCTGGCATTCTTATTTTAATACACATTTAGTTTTAAAGTCGATGAGGAGCCTCACCTTTCTTAAACCTTAGCTGTGAAAGGTCATATCTCCCATAATCACGGAAGAGAAAAACTCCTCCATGCTTCAAATATGTTGAAAGTTGGTTCACAACTTTTTGCACTCTGTAAATAAACAGAAAGCAAATAATCAAATACTATTGATTTGTAAGTGAACAGCAAATGAAAGTCAGTGGAAATGTGATCCATCAGGCAGCAAGCAAGCAATGAAAACATTTAAATATACTTCTCCTGTTCAGAAACACCTGCTGCACAGCTCTGAAATTGTATATAATTGAACTGACACCCAGCTTATGTATAAATATTCCTTGAACCTCTTCACATTTTTTCAAATCACAACCATAAAATAATATTTTATTATGGTAATTTTATATGACAGAATCACCCCAAGTATGGCAGAATCCTGAAGTTGAAGGAAAACAATATGCAGCTTTTTTATTTAACAAATAAATCTGATTTGTGTTACTTGTATTTGTATCCATCCTTTGCAAGACAGTACTTATTCTGTATTTTATGAGAAGTTTAGGTGCTAGTCTAACACAAAGTTGGCACAATTTTGAAGTGGAAAAAAAAACGCATATCATGAAAATATTTTCTAACTAAAAGTCTCAAAAGTAATGCTTGCATTTGTGGTCCATAATATGTAGAGCACCTTTTGCTGCAGTTATAACTGCAAGTGTTTTGGGATATTTCTCTACCAGCTTTACACAGCCTGAAATATTTTATTCTTCTTTGTAAAATAAGTCAAGACCGGTTGAATTGAAGAGCATGACACATCTGAGAACATTTTAAAGTCTTCCTACAGATTCTCATTTGTAATTAGGTCTGGAATTTAACTGGACCATTCTAACACCCGAATATGATTTGTGTTAAACTGCTGAAATATAGTTCTGGTTGGATGTCCAGCAGGAAAGTAAACATCTGCTTCACTGCTTTTAACAGGATTTATCAAAACAGCAGAGTAAGAAAAAAATCCAAAGGATATACATACTGGGGTCTTAAAATATAGGTACTCAAAGTCAAGGGAACATAAAGAGGAGGGCTGGAGGGTTGTGAAAGGGGAATGAGCAGCTCGCTGATAAATAACTCTTCTTTATACTGTAATCTTCACCTACCGCTGAGGATGAATGGAAGAGAGCACAAAGACTGCTAGGATAGCATCCAGGCTCTGAGGAGGAAAAGGAAAAGAGTCCGCCTCCTCACAAATGTCGTGGACAAAGGCATGACACACAGAATCATCATAGTCCGGATGGTCCTGTTAGAGGGAAATAAACTGGGTCACATTCACTAAATTGTCTGTTTCCAAATGAACGTGGGAGATTTTCGTTGGCATAAAGTGTGTAAAATAAGTAAAATAACAGGACTCCTATAAACGTAAATTAATCTTGTTTGATATAAACATATCCCTCAAGATTTATTGAAGTAGAAATGCATAATTGTCTTTAGGATTCAACATCACGTTAATATTATTACTTAGTTTTTGATCCAAATAGATTTTACCTTAACCAGCTGAATGGCACGAGGGGAGAAGTCACAGCAGTATAAGAAGGAATCTGTCTTCCTGTGAAACAAAATAACCAGGTCTGAAAATATCAAATAATCATAAGTGGATACGTACTGCAGCTTTGGATAATTTTGTTCCTTTGAATCAAGACTCTTTCATCACTTCAACAAAACATAGATCTTGAAAGTTTCAGGAGTTCCCTGCTTAATGTCAAAATAAAACGGGTGAACCATCCAAACATCAACAATTGGCCAAGATATCACTGATGAGCACAGATTTTTTTTCCTTTTTATAAAATATTAAAAACTGAAAACTTCCACTTTTTCTGCCAGGAAACTCATCAGCAAGCATATCATTCTTTTGATGCACTGTGTTTGATCAGAAATCAACTGATTTAATTAAAATCAGTTGAACCTGATGCATGAATGTAAATGATATTCTTGTAACTTCTTTTAACATTGGATCTAATCCTACTACCTCAATCACGGAACATGCGGCGAATCTGTTCTCTTTCGTGGTCAAAGTTTGATGATTGTAATTGAATTAAAACAAAGTTTACACAAATAACATTTTGCACGTTAAAAGAAGAAAGAAAAAATGAGAACATGAGCCCAATCAGAGCATCTTTAGATAAAACATTATTACAGTAATCAAATATCAAACATAAATCTTTACATAAGTAATTATGTGTAAATCAGTTAAAAATATGACCTACTTTATGGTATTAACAATGGGAAATACACTGTTACCAACTCCACATCCAACCTGAGAAGAGATAAAGTGAACGGTCACGTTAAAGCAGTTAAATAACACTCTAAACATCTAAAACTAAGTAGGGGGATAAGCATAAACATGAAGAAAGTGAACATGTTTTAAAACCTCCAAAATCCTGAAAGACGCATGCTGTCCAGGAAAAGAAGAAATTTGTCTGATGGTTTCATTTGGTTCTGCTGCAGCTTCCTGGAAATAAAAGGTATTTGTTTTTGGCGGTGCTGAATGGGATCATTGTGTCGACAGTGTCCCGTTTCCCTATTAGTGTGGGAGCTACTGCGCTTGCTGCCTCGCCTGCTACCTGATGACTGCGGTATGCATTTGTCCTCTTTTCTTCTGCAGATGAAGGAAGTAATTCTGGGAACTCTAAAAACAGCCACCTGCGATCTTTGAAGAACTTGTCCTGGTGCACCTCGTAAAACTGGTCCCAGTACTGGCAAGCATCTGTGCTAAATTTACCTGAAGGAAGGAAATTGGATTTATGTTTAACGTTTTTTTTTTTTTTTTTACATTACATAAATAGTAATGTGATGAGGTAAATAATCAGGTGGCAACGTGTTTGTAACCTTGCTCTGTTAAAGGAAGTCGTATACTTGAATTTTCTTCTGCCTGCTGCCGAGCAGCTTCTTGGTCCTCCTTTGTCCACTGCACATGGTCCCTAATAGTGAAAACATTAAAAAAAACTAATAGAATTTGTAACTAAAGTGGAAGATAAACTAGATTTTATAATTTTAGTGTTTGATTCATAAATGTAAAGGAGAGACTTTAGGAAGGTACAAACAGATTGCTACTGACCACATGTTGTGTTTAAAGATATCATCGGGGTTTGTCAGAATCCGTGAACCCAAAGGAGCTGTAGGTCTCGCCTTGGTGCTCTTGAATCTCACGTAAAGCCGGATGAAAGCAGAAGCTTGTTTGACCAAAGAGCAGGTCCACCGTTTATGCATTTACTCCGCTAAAGATCAAGGAGTTCAATTATAACATTTATTCTATAGTTAGAAACTGAAACAGCAAAGTAATTCTCAATAACAACACACAATTTTAAAATAAGGCCAGCATACTTATTGGGTCCTTAGAAATTGTGTGCAAAAAATGTAAAACATCCTAAGATAAATTAATCTTTAACTGAGGCAACATAGCTTCACATTGAAAAATCATACTTTAATCTGAGCACATTTATGCAGTTAAGAAAACAATAATAGAATTCCACATTAAATAATAATTGTTTTCACAAAAGCTCAGCTGCCACACATGGGGGCCCAATTCCTTTAAAATAAACACCACAGAAGCATTTTTTATTCATACTTTACTTCTTAAGTAGACTAAGTTTGAGATTTCAGCTTCAATCACTCCAGGTGGATCTGTGGGAAAACAAAATGGATGAGTACATGAAAAAGCACCTCAGGCCCAGTGTTAAGTATGGTGGATCTGTAACAATGTGTATACGAATATTTTGAAGATGCAATTTTGTACTTGTAAAACTATAATCCATAATATTTCAGAAATTACAAGTGAATCTCATAACTTTTTATCCACAATTATTTTAAAAATATTCAATTAGGATGAAAAGGATGACAGATTAGAAACTGCATCAATATTATTCTCAAAAGTAAGAAAGAAACACAAATTAATGCATATAATTTGACAAATTTACGAAAACGCACTAAAGGAAACAAAATACTGGACAAAACATGAAAACAAGGTCACCAAAACAAAAAGCAATATTTTACAATATGAGCAGAATGTAAATGGAAAATAACGTGTGGTGATTTGAAAGCGCAAATCACTGTTTTAACTCATTTATTACAGGAAATAAGTGGATCTAGCATAACTACGTCTCCAAACTAAAGCCAACGAACGTCGGCGCTGTGGTTTCAGTCGGAAATGTTTTCTTATTTTGTCCGTAGAAGAAGACGCTTGGCAAACATGCAGCTGAACGGGCTAACGGCCAGCTAACTACAACGCCAACCGAAAAGCGACATTAATTTTCTCAGATTAAACCGATCACCAAACTTTTGCTAACTTCTGGACAGGTCCCACTGACCATGTAGATATACAACTCACTTTTAGCAAAAGAAAAATATATATAATCGAGGTTTTTAGCTAAAATAAAAGTTATATTTGATAGCTTCCATGCTAACTTACGCTGAGAACTACTGCGATCTGGGAAAGATCAAATTTGGTAAATAGTTCTTCGGCTTGGAGAACATCCCCATCCTTACCTAGTTCTGGATGTCGTGTGCCGTTTGATCGAACCTTTGGAGGCTTTGGTTTGTTGAGGAGCTCCGCCTGCAGATGGCGCCACCCCGCAGAAAGATGACTTTTAACACCGCTGATCTGCTGAACCGGAGGAGCAGAGGGATCTGGGATACTGGGACTTTACACAGATTCTGCTTGAAAATCCTCAGAAACATCACTCTTCACGTAACATAAAGCAACACTCTGAAATTGTATCAATTCCTGCTTTCAATACATATTTTCACTATACATGATTGTTGCCTCACTGTAGGAAAACAGGAGCTTCATTAAAGTTTGGAGCAAGACTTCAAAAACAGCAATAATGTACGAGAGTGGTAGAATCTACTGTGATAATTACCAGAACTGCTACAGTTGGTGAGTATGGATTATTCACTTGTATTATTTACAGAATAATCTAACTTATTAAGGTCAACGTTCAGACTCAATTTGAGCACAGCTGTTTCTCAAAAACATGTCAGGGAATTTGAATTTAAAAATTGACAGTCTTATCCAGCTAAAGGTATACCACACTTTAGGGTAGTTTTAGCTAGCAAAATTAATTACTGTTGTAAAGTAAAGCATATACCAGCAGGTACCATAGGATGAATGTGTGCATTGGTCACATGTGGAGGTGGCAAATAGATTATTTCTATCCATTGTTTGAGGTTTTCAACAACAAAACTTTCCTAGCAGAATTGAAATAATTTAGGCTTCAGAGTTCAGACACTCCATTTAGATTTGATCTCTTAAGACTTGTTGCCAGAGCCTGTATTTTTACGCTAAGATCTCTCCTCAGAAAGATCAAAGCTCTCTTGTCTGCTAGCTAAAATATTACTTGCATTATATTGTTCCAGTGTGTGTCTTAAATCTTCTGATTTTAGTGTCCACGATCAGCCCCAGAATTTATACAAATTCCCAAAGAAGTCCAAACAGCAGAAAATTGAAGATGCTCTGCTTTGTCAGAGTCCTCTTGTGAGTAAAATGTAGACGTATTTAGGTACTTCACTTGCGCCGTGTAACTGTTTTTGCAAAGTTAAACTACCTTCTATTACAACAATTTACAAGTCAACTAGAATTATATTCAATCAATAAAGTATATCCTGATTTTTTTTTGTTTTTGTTTGTTTCAGGACAAAACTTTATCCTCTCCCTCTGAACATAAACCCTGCCTCTTAGTTCTGACAGCAGATAACTGGCTCTGCCGCATTTCAGCTGAAACAGGAAAAGAGCTCCAGAGGGTTTATCTCTCTCCTAAATACAAGTACAGGTATATTTAAAACTCAGTTCTTTGTCTTTTGATGGGTTATAGTTTATTTTATTTTATAAATGTATATTTGAAAACTTGTGTTTCTGTTTTGTAGATATCTTGCCTGGAATGTTTCACAAGAAACATTTTACATTAAGTCTACTCAGCACAAAGAAACACCCTTGGCAAGACAGGTAAAAATCTATTATTTTAAGCTAATTTAAAACATGTTGCACTTTTATAGAGACATTGAAAGCCTATATGCCTAACAGAATAACAACTCAAGATAATTTAAGCATTCTTGAGTTGTTATTCTGAAATAGATGAATCACTAAATTGAAAAAAACAATAGTTTTTATGTATTAAGGGGGTCTACTTTCCATTTTTTTGCATCAAAATGTATTAAAAATAAAGATACAAAGAAATAGCATAAATATAGCCTTGATAGATATTTATCATGTAAGAATTAAACATTTTAGTGTCCTTTTAATAATATATTTAACAAATATCTGTGTAGTTTTTTTGTTTTTTTTTCTCCCACAGGCAGGTATATCACAGAATGCAATCATGCACATGGCCATTTTTCATGTTTTCCCCTTGCAAATTGTGGGGATTTTGGAGATAAATAAAAAGGTATAGTTAATTTAATTATATAAGGGTACCTGATTTGGGATTCATGTTATAAAATGGAAATTATTTTATTTCAGGGATTTGGAAGTGGTGTTACAGATGTGGTTCTGTCCCAGGGTGTCCTTGCTGTGTCTTACAGTAACAAGTCAGTGAAACTGTACAGCTTCGAGCACATTGTCCAAAGAGTATGTGGAGCAATCAGCTGGAACGATCTCCATTAACATGCTATCATTGAAATGTATTTGTAGAATACCATAGATGAAAAATAACTGTCTTTGTTGTTAGTGCTTAACTGAAGAGTTGACATTGGGACAGCAGAGTCCCCTGCTGGGACACAGAACCGTCGGGGACGCTCCATTTGGTATCCCAGTTAACATCCAGATCACAGGTGAAGCACTTTAACCCCGAGGCATTCCTTCATTTAGTTCTTCCCTCTATTAAGCTTTTATAAACTCCAGTCTTCATTACTATAGCAAATATTGAGAAAGATTTCTTAACTTAAACACCAGTGATAGCAACTTTCTTTTATGAATAAATACAAAAGTGAATTTTTCTCGACCCTCCAAATAAGAAAAATAAAAAATGACGAAGCTATCTCGTCTTATAACAAGAACGCTTCTTGTTATAATGGAAAGTAAATTAAAAATGTAATACTTTTTTGGATGGTATTATCACCACGTAGTAGCATCTAAGATTGCAACCAACATAGATTCTGATCAATTGTTAATTTTTATGCAACGTTGTTTATGACACAAAATTCCGTCTGTTTAACATGCTAGTATAAACATATAACCACTCAAATGGAATCTCCATTGTTAGGGTAACTTGAGCAAGTTCTCTTCAACAAACCCTGGGTCTTTTGAACCTCCTTCATAACATTGGTACAAGTTAGAAGGAGTTCAACATAATTTGTTGGGTGCTGTGGTGGCTCAGAGTGAAGTACAACCCACGTATGGAGGCTTTGGTCCTTGACACATCAGTCACACTTCAAGACCCGACCTGATGACCTTTTCTGCAGGTCTTCCCCCTCTCTCATTATCCAATTTCCTGTCTAACCACTTTCAAATAAAGCCAATAAAATAAAAGTAAAAAAAAAAAAAAAACAGGCATACACACAAATTGTCACTAGAAATATGTGTTTTTTTTATTTCACAGAACCGCCACCACTTCTTTTTGAGGCATTCTCTCACAATGGTGTCCAGATCGGTGGCTTCCCTTGGCACTACATTTACACTCCACCACACAAAAAACACAGAGGGACTCACTACATCTGTTCACTCAGGGACAGCACTTTGGTAAATATAGAGTTTTCTTCATCTTTGCAGGACAACATTTGTTCTTTGGCTGATGAGCTAATGATTTGTTCATCAGTATTTGGGACAAATTATAAACATGGACCTGATTAGTGCTCTCTAAAGTACAAATTAGTGAGCTTTGAATTGTGTATCAACAGACGTTGACTAGACATAATATTAGAAAACTTTGCAATATAAAAATACTGACTAAGTATTGCAATGGCAACATCAGTTTCAACCCATTCTTTTTTATGTATGTCTTCTGTTGATGTGTTGAACAGAGCTCTGTGAGACGTTTAATACTTCAGTGTTTTTTAACGTAACTCTGCTTTAAACTTTACAACCTCCTCTCAGACTTATCTGTTGCTTTCCCTGTTTTTCATAATGATGTTTAATTTCGGATGCTCTCAAAGAACATCTGGATTTATATTGAGGGAAACACGGGTAGGTTGTATTTACTAATTAGGTGACGTCTGAAGGCAAATGATTGCCCTGAATTTTATTCATAAATATCAAAATACAGTGGACTGAATACAGTGGACGCACAATTCACATTTCAGTTTTTAGACGATTTACGAAGCTGATTTTTCTTTCACAAATCTATTTTTCACTACTTTGTGTTGGTTTTTCACATAAAATCCAAAGAAATTATATTAATGTTTGTTGGTGGAGCACAACAAAACATGGCAAAGTTCAAGGGGTGAGAATTAGTTTTGCAAGCGACTGGTGGTAACAAAATACTGTTCATAATAAAAAAAGTCAGCATGTCACACATTGTCCAATTTAACCATGCCTTTAACTACATATCTTTATGATATTAGGCAAAAAATGGAATCCAGAACATGAACTGTTGCTCTCTTGAGAATGACGTCATCTTCTTCCATCCGGCCGATTCAGGGAGAGTCATCCACATTGGACCCAACACTATAAAGTGAGTGATCCGGTCAAGGTTAACAATATAAATAGTATTATATAACGTCATTGTTATCTTCTGTGTCGCTTGCACATATTGTATGATCATGTATGTCTTTCCTTTCTTTTGAAGTGTGCTGAAAGTCATTAGTGAACTAAACAGTCCTTTGCCATCAGAGGTGCTAGAGGATTACTCTCTGACAACACATCAAAGCAACGTAGGTGAAATATTTAGCATCTTTACTGTATATAAGATGTTTTATTAATACTCATGGTGTTGAGCGTTGCTGGTGTCAATGTTCTGCAGCCGTCCCCTCGTGTCACCGTCACGTCTTCAGGCCGGGTAGTGAGATCGAGATTTCAACAACTGGATGATGACCCAATGCAGGAGGTACCAATAGACTGTTCTGAGCCTTGATATAAACAAAATCACACAGACATAGTACTTCTTTTTCTCTTGACATAACTGTCCCTGAGGCCCCAAGTTTAATTTATGTGAAAACAAAAAAACATCCATGTTTTTGCTCTTGTTCTCATTTAAATCTGCGTATGCATCTTAATGCTGTTGCTGAGAATCTAGAGAGGGATAGCAGACAGTCGATTTAGCAGACAGATATTTTGCTGCAAATCAATCCCATCTGCACAAATCTGATCACTCCTCTGTTTATAGAAGAGCGAACACTCTCTGAAAACACCTACAAGTTGATGAAGGATCATCTCTAAATTAAGCATAGTCTAACCACCACCTAGCTGTCTGTACCAAAAAGCTTTCCAGTCATATGAGCAGCATTTGTTCCAAAGCAACACATGATGAATCTATACTTGGATGTGTATTAGACCTGGCCTGTGGTCACAGCTTTAGGTCTCATAAAATGTATTGCAGATATGAATTTTGTTTTGAAATTTTGAGAATCTAGCGGTTCCTCATAAGAAAACTGTAAATTACAACAAGGTGTTATGGAAAATGTGTAGGAGGCTCTGTCTATAAAAATGTGTATTGTATGGCTCCTACAACAGATCTTATGCTTACAGATTTATTTTTTTTGTGTGTCACTGGTAACTTTCTGTTCTTAGCCGATACTGTTCTTGACAATATGCATCGTTTTTTTGGAGCAGGTGTAAATTTGTTCAACTCAGAGCAGTCTTTTGATATTTCAGACCTTTCGGTTGCTGGAATACGAGGATGAACTCGACCTTTTGGCCATAGCGGTGACTAACGGGGAGGGCGAGGAAGGCAGAGCTCATGTCCAACTGCATGACAACCAAACAGGGCGGTTACAGCGAAAGATTGATCTGGATGAGCCTTGGGATGAGGTTTGTAATATAAAGAAGCTTATCAATTTGTTAATTAATCAGCCTTTTTCTGTCAGTAGAAAAAGGGTCATATAAAAGTATATTCATTATAAATTGTTCTATGTTTGAGTAGTTTTATTACTATTATGTTCATGTGTCAACAAAAGAAACTCACTGCTTGGTAGTGCATGGCAGTAGATTGGGAAAACATTGCTGTGAGTCGTACAAAATAAGGACGTAGTTGGTTCCAAAGTAAAGAAATAAACATCAGGCTGTGTGTGAGTTAATGCATTTCTATTCTCTGTTTCAGACTTATCCACATGAGCTGTTCTTTGACAGAGACACCATTGTTCACATTGAGCAAAAGGGCAGCCAGTTCTGCTGCCATGTTTATAAACTCAGGACCATCACTAAATGACAAATTGACTGAATGATAGTGAGATGTTTTTCACAATGTTGTAAAGTTGTTGGAAGGAGTGGTAAACTTGTGGATTATTGTATATTTTTATTCTGTCTGAATATCTGTTTTCTTTATTATAAATTTCTTTAATCACTAACAACCGCAAAAATTTTATTGTTTTTTTTATAAACTCTCTTTCTCTCTTTTGCTTTTTGTCATGCACATACATACACATTTTATTTAAATTTTAAAAGGACATTTAGAAATTCTTAATTTTAATTTGAACATGAACTGCAAACAATTTCAAACAGTACTTTGCTGACAGAGTAAGGCTTCTTAAAAATGTTGTTGTTTAATAAACAATCAAGAGGATTCTCTTCACTTAACAGTGATAAAACAAATTCCTAAGTTTAAGCCAAAATTAGATCAATAAATAAGCATATAACCATTTGGCTTCTTGATTTAATAAATTTTGCAATAATTCCATTATTTGTATTTATTTAATTAATTAATTTTGTCTGTATTTTCAAACTGAACTGAATAAATATATCACTTGCCAGCTGTTACACAATGCGACACTAGTTGGCGCCATTTCCCATCGATTTAAGATGAACAACTGAAAAAAAAAAAAGTAAATGATACTGATGCAACAGTTTTTATAAGTCAGAGTGACGCTCTGGGCGCAGAGACCCGTCTCCCCTCCTAATGCTGTATGTGTGTGTGTGTGTCATTCAGACTTGACTGTCTGTGGTTGGAGAAAAAAAAAAACATTTAACGGCCAAGTGTTCAGCTGAGGTCAGAGGATGACACAGCACAAATAGCTGTTTTTTTATGGGTCCTGAATCCTCTGTAAGCACGCAAGTTACAAAATGTCACTCCTCCAAGCAGTTACGTACCTCCCAGTCGCGTGACCGCCTTTTTTTTTTTTTTTTTTTTTTTTTTTTTTTTTTTTTTTTGGAGTAGCCGCTCGAAGTAGTTTGGAAACAGCTGCCCGCTGACTTTCTGGCTCACTGACGGCGATGGAGAATCTGAAGCAGTTCCTGTTCGCCCTCTCCGCTGCCGGAGCTGTCGGGTTCGTCGCCATAATATTCGTGCTGAGGTGGGTTCTCCACTTCCAGGAAGGCTTGGCCTGGGACGGAGGACTGGCCGAATTCAACTGGCATCCGGTGCTGGTCGTCACGGGCTTCATTTTCCTGCAGGGCACAGGTGAGATGGACGACGACTCTCATTCCAAGTCGTCTGAAGACAGAGAGGCGTGAGCTGGGCTGTTCAGACGCCCAGAGAGGAAGTTAGTGGGAGAAACCACGTTTAACGGGACTGTTTATCCTCCAGTCTTTTCACACTTTTGTCATGCTTCTGTTCTAAACTTTATTTTGGGATTTGAACTCAAAGTGCACCAATTGTGAAGTGGAGGGAAAATAGTGCGCAGTTTTGAAAAAATTTTTTGCCAATAGCATTGAAATTATGGTTAGATCTGGGACAAAATAGTTGAGAAGTTCAAAGTGGCCTCGTTTAAAAAAACAAACATCCTAAGATGTAAACATCTCATCTCACAGAGCACTTTTCAATTCATAGTGGTGTACTCAACAAATTCAGCCTTTTTGGAAAAGTGGCAAGTTTTCTACAATGCACAGCAAACGTGTGGAAGAAAGTTCAGTGGACAGCTGATCAGTTTGAACTTAAATTGTGAAGAGGCATTTTAAACTACACGTTGTGCTCAACACACTACCCTCGTTGTGAAGTCTTAGTGGCAGGAATGGGATGCTGGCTTGAGTTTGTGTGAAAACAAATAGTTTAATTTACAAAAATCCTTGAAGAAAACCTCTTCGAAGCTGCAAAGGATTTGACAACAACCTGAAACATGCAGCGAAAGCTACAATACAGTTGTTTTGGTGAAAGCTTAGTCATGTGCTGGAATGACTCAGTTAAAAACCTATAATCAATTAAGAGTAAACATGTAGGAATGTGCCTCTTTGTGTTTGTCTTTCACATAAAATCCCAATGAAATGAAAGTTTTAATGATACAAAATAATAATAATAAAATAAACCTTTTGTGAGGAGGCAGTGTAGATTAGCTGCAGGAAGCGAAAACGATTTCACATTATGGAGTAACTTCAAAAAGTAGCATTTTTTTCTAAGGCTTAATGAGTCAGCTGTTTTTATGTGGTTCAAGCACTGATGGAGCCACTGATCCTCTCTTGCAGCAATAATTGTCTACAGGCTTCCCTGGACCTGGCAGTGCAGTAAACTCATGATGAAGTTCATCCATGCAGGCTTGAACTTGACAGCCTTCATTTTCGCTGTTATTGCCATGGTGGCCGTTTTTGACTTTCACAACTCTGCCAAGATCCCCAACATGTACAGTCTGCACAGCTGGCTGGGCCTGATGGCAGTGATACTGTATGGTCTGCAGGTAAATGGACCCTATCTTCATTCACAACATACTGAAGATAATTGATTATGACAGTTTTTTTTTCATTACTTAAGTTGTTTTTTTATGCTCATTTCTGCATCATGAAGACACGAGAAATAAAAGTTGCATGACTGAAGCATCTGATAAGCTTTTTTTTTTCTTCTCTTGTTCTTCAATGGGCAGCTTGTTCTCGGAGTCGGCCTATACCTGATACCAGTTACACCTGTGGCCTGGAGAGCAGCTTTTATGCCCATCCATGTCTACAGCGGTCTTTTTCTTTTCACCAGTATCATAGCGGTTGCTCTCATGGGAATCACAGAAAAACTTATTTTTGGCCTGTGAGTATTCAAGCAATTCAGATGTTTATATGGAAATGTTTTGGTGCAAATGAATGCAACAGTATTTATTTCTCTAACATACAGGGCCAACCCAAAGTATAAAGACTCTCCCCCAGAGGCAATCTTTGTGAATGTGTTGGGACTCCTCCTGGTTGTTTTCGGGGCTCTTATCCTCTGGATTGCCACTCGAGCGTCTTGGAAACGCCCCAGTGACCAGATTGCGCATTCTCTGCATACCAACAGGGGAAGTGAGGACAACAGCAAAGGTGGTCCGGCAATGTCTGAACTGGAAGATGGAGCCAATTGTGAGACTGATGGAGATGTCAGGAAGAGGAATTGTAAATAAATCAGAGCTAGGCTGACAGTTTGTGTCATAGAAATAAGAAAAAAAAATGCTGTGCAAAAATCTTCAAGTAATCTCTAGTTTACACTATATCTGTTGGAACATACAAACATTTAAAAGTAAAAAATACACCTAATCTTTGCAATAATTTTCAGTGTCCATCTTTCTGTTTTACATTGTCTTCATCAAGCTTACTATTTTATTAGTCAGTCTTTAGACTTTAGACTTTCTCCAATGTTCATGAAGGACAATCCAGATGTCTCCTTCTGGATGTTAGCTGCCCTTTGTTTAGTTTATCTGTCAAGATAATTTAATGTTGATTTAATCATTTTGAAGTTGAATCAATGAAAGAGACCAAACCATGTTTGTTTGTTTGTTTTTTCTTTCTTTCTGTGTTCTAAGTTTTGCTTTGGAAATTGGTCTAAAGCAGTTACAAGTAATATTTTTAATCAGAAAAATCCTTCCCCGCATTCACATATAAATACATACATCAGCTTAGTCACCAAATCATTCCAGAGCCACCAGCATGCTTTATTGACATCAAGCTCAGTACTGTACTCAGTTCTAAGGTTCTCACCCCCCAGATTTTGTGCAAATTAAGATTTTTTTTTGTTGCACATAATTTGGTATTTTTACATTTTAGTCTTTCAAACTGCAAAATAATTGTCAAATATTCTTTAAGAAATTATGCATGGTTACAATAAATAAAATAAAGCTGCAATTTGCATGCAATGCAAATAGCAGCCCCCAAAAAAATGACCAAAAAAAAATCTGTTTTGTTGAAAGCCAAGACCAAAAAGATATGGGATGTTTCAAGATTTTTGCACTGTACTATTTGGCCCTGATATGTCTCTGCACAACATGCAAGTCCTTGTAAATGTTTACAACACCACAAAAGGGGACCAACTGGTATCCCCAAGCAGTGACACAAACTGAAATTATGATTGTATTGTTAAACCAACATACACTGTTTAGAAAATACAAAAAAAACTTACAATTTAAAGTTTAGTAGTATTTTATCTTTTTTGCTCACCAAAATATCATTTTAGCTTATATTTCACCAGCATTTATTGCTATATTTGCATGTAAATATTGATGAGCTGTGGGAATAAGATGTAGATGCTCACATTGGAATAGATAATCCAAGTTAATTTCTTTTCCTAATATAGATAGGTTTTTTTCTTCTTTTTTTGTCAACAACTGATTTTTTAATAAATCTTGTACTGTTTTTTGCTTAACATGTTTTGCTTTGCATTTATTTCGTCCACTGTGGAATACAATATCTAAAAAACTACTCACTTCATTGGATGTTTTGCTCTTTAGATCAATCATGGCTTAAAAATTAATTTTTGACATGGTGACAAAAAGAATTTGTGGGAGAACTTGAAAATGGCAGGCCACAGCTGATCCCCAGCAACCAGACGGACGGAGTTGGAACAGTTCCTTGCAGAACTGTTCCAACTCCGTCCGGTAAAATTTTGCGCTGTCCATATGTGAAAGCCTTTTCAACCATTCTCCCTGCTCTGATTGCAGTCAAAGTTGCAACTACTGAACACTGACTTGAAGGAGGTAAATATTTCTAAAATCACTGATTTTACATTCATATACTTTTGCACTATTTTGTAGGAATCAGTTATAAGATTCCCAGATTTTTTTTTTGTTGTCCAAAAAGCCCAACTATGTTGCTCATGACTGATTTGTAAAAGCATTAAGAGGGTAAGACATCCAAAGATGTGAATGCTTTTATAGACACTGATGTATAATAATAACATGCAAATAGATAGAAAATTTGCAATATGATAACTTTATGTTAACATATTGCTTGTCTTGTTAATTTTTAAGCTTTTAGATTTGTGTTGATTGCACTGTTGAAAGTTGTCCAAGTCAATAATATCAATGCACAGGTCTGATTAGCACTGTGTTATGAACCAGATGTGACATTATATGTTCTACAAATATTTTTTCTCTCTAAAACATAGCAAATAAGCTAAGATAAACTAAGTAGATATATCATTGCAAGAGGAGTGCATTAAAAGGTTCTCAATCCATTAACCATATGGAGTTCCTGGCCATAAAATCTCTGTAGCAACACGAATGAATGAACCTTGAAAGCATGCGCATGCACAAATTTTTCACAACAATTAGGCACACAACCCACTTCAGAACTGCCCTGGATCATCCTTGTGCTGCGAAATTGAACTTTACAGCTTCTGTTAACAGATGCAGCAGATTCTGGTTATGGTCCCTGGTATCTCTAGACATTGAGTTTGACTAAATCAAGACTTGAAATCAATTTTGCTGTTATTACGACAGTATTGTTAGAAAAGAAGAAATAAAAATAATAATAATAGTAATTTTTTTCAAAGTTGTCAACAGGTTGGTTCATAATATTGAAGAAATCACTATTTTATTTATATATTCTTTAGAATACCAAACAAAACCTATTAATGTTTTCTTTCTTTGCGCCTGTTGCGAATCGCTTGACCGTTTATTTTTCCTTTTGAACCTTCTCGGCTCCTGTACTTGAGTTGGCAGCTCAATTGTTTTGTTTTGGTGGTCAAGTTGGAAGTCTACTTCGAGGTTTGTAATCCACGGTTTATCATTAAGTTGATTATAAGATAAGTCATTTGTCAGTTCACTTTTTTGTAGTGGTGTTAGCATCTAAGTTAGCCTTTTAGGCAGCACCGTTTCTACCCGTTGACTACCAGCTAAGCTAACTCAATCGCTTCAGGTTTGCGTTGGTTAAATTGACACATTTTCTGTTGCATGAACTATATTAACAAATACCATAAGCGGTTACATGTAATCTGAAATACGAAAGTTTGCTGGTTTTTTTAAAGGACAGTATTATGTAGCTACAAAACAAATTCTGAAAAACAAGGAAGGCTAATAATGCTAGCAGCAGAGAGGCCAGCGGTTGAATGTTGCCGTTTATTCATTCAATTCCGACGCTTAATGAATTGGCTTTAAGTTTAAAAGTTGCACAAGTTTTAGATTATATCCTTTAACGTTTATATAGATAAGTAAAATCAGTCAAACAGTGTTTTGAACTAAGAACTTATGGAAATCTCGTATTAGCTTTAGGGTGGGGCTCATTTAACCTGATCTAATGACAGTGAGTGGACAGTGACCAAAAAGTATCTTGTTGAAAGATGCGTTTAATGCTTTGCTTTTATTTGTTCTTTTTCATATAGATCTTTTAAAGCATTTTACTGGCTTAGTATTTACAACATTTCGTGATCGCCCACCCACTCGCATAATCATTAATAATAGATTAAGTGTTACAACTACATAAGTTATCAGTACTGACAGCTGAGATCCACGCACACTTTTGCTATTTAAACAAATCAAAATCAGTGACATATTTTATGTCTAAAAGGTTCTGCAGTGTGTTAACTACTTCTGAAAACATCGAGGTACATTTTGCTGTTTTTTCTCCCTTCACCAAATGTAATAAAACGTGATACAGCAGTAATTATTTCGTATAATTTCGTAAATACAAGTTCATTTTCATTTTCTTTTTAAATTAAAACAAACCAACAGACAATAATACGTTGCTGCCAAAAACAATGATTCATATAGAAGTACGAGTGGATGAACAACTAAGTCATAATTTATATGCCAGGCTTTTTTTTTGTCTTGTTCTTTAAAGCGATTTGCTACAAAAATATATTCTTCCCTTTTTATATCTCATACTTTCACTTAGATCAGTAGCTGATTAAGGTACCTTAATGTAAAGTTGTGGATTGTCATAATCAGGAACCCGGTTCACATCTTACCAGATTCTCTCACTTTGCTGTAACTTGTGCTAGAAAAGATTAGAGAGCAAGGCAATTAAAGGGCTGCCTCTCAAGCAAACAGCGTCTTCTAAAAAAGTTTTGTTGTTCTAAAAAAGTTTTTCTTTTTCCCCATAGCTGTGACATCATGTCTGACAAAAGTGAGCTGAAAGCGGAACTTGAAAGGAAGAAGCTACGTTTGGCACAAATCCGGGAGGAGAAAAGAAGGAAGGAAGAGGAGCGAAAGAAGGTATAAATTTTCTGACTTAAGGATTTGTCATAGTCTGACATTGGATCTTCATAAGTGAAATAGAAAACATATTTGGGCAAGTTCAATGTACACGACAGAAGTGAAAAGCAATTATGTAAATGTTCAAATATTCTAAAATAATTCTTCCTCCAGGCTTTCTAGTGCAACTGAGCTTCATTTCACTCTTTTTGCATTTGCCATTTTTTGCAACAGCTGTGAGTTTCTTGCCTTGTTAGTTTAAATTAGACAGGTAATCATTGTCTTTCTTCAGAGAAGGGTCTGAAGCTCTGTGTGCATCGTTTTTGTCTCAGAGCAGCTGAATGTAATGTTGATTCCTGAAACAGTCCTGAATGGTCGACGCTTCTCTGTTCGCAGGCGGACCAACAGCAGAAAGAAGTTTCACAACAGCAGGATGACTCCGACCTGGAGAAAAAAAGACGAGAAGCTGACGCTCTTCTGCAAAGTATGGGGATAACACCAGATGCTGCAGTTGGTATGTTTATTTATCGGATGCTAGATTGCTTCTATATACTGTCTCCGTCAATTTGCAACTGCATAGATAGAAACTAATTCAGTCAAATCTGCTTAGCCGCCTAATTTATAAAGGTCAGACAGTTGCTTAAATCTACTTTAAGTATCATCAATTTGATACTGTGTTGTGCATGACTGGCTGTTTTGAAAGTTTGGGAGTTTTTTTTTTTTTTTCTTTCCATTTTTTACTCTTAAAAAATAAAAAATCTGATTTCCTGAGCCTGTTGATCACTTTTTCATTGTGAAAAACAACAGAGACAGTTTAAAGTTACATTTAAACGCAACAAATCCAGGTTGATGTTGTCCTCTAACTGTAAGAGTAATAAAGTAATATGAGGTTTAGCAATCATATGTTTTTAAGGTACATCAATTTATTGGATACTTCAATACAGATTCTATCTTGGTGTCCTAATTGATAATGCTCTATCTGTTGTATGGTGAGACAATAAAAGTGTCTGAAATTGGCAGGAATAAAAATAATATGATTGATCAACAATGCATTAATTATGTAAAAATATAAGTTTTTTTTTTACATATTTGTTAAAACTGTCACCATGTCGTTACGATATGCTATAAAACAAATAATTTTTGAGAAGCTCAAGCTCCTCCACCTTTTCCTTGAGCTACTGTTGCCATCTTAATAAATACACCACTCTCCACCAAAAACAACCCATCATAGCAAGAGGGATGATTGGGGCTGTCAATCATGCTAATGTACTTGCTGCTAAATGTGCTAATAGAGGAGAAACAAGTTACTTTTAGAGAAAAACTGTTTATTTGCCGTCAGTGGTGGCCATACTTAGCAACCTGAGTGTTCACAACAGTCTCTGTTAGTTGCAACGTCGCAGAGAGCAAATGCCACATAAGATTGTGATTGATAATAGAGTTTCTTTACAAACAGAGTTGTCTCATATTTATGAAAAATAAAGCAAAAGGTAAGGGATTTAAACAATTAAAGCACTTAGATTTGAGGAAAATTTCATCAGCAATCAAATTTTACTGCATTAGTAGTGGAAACCGTATGTGATGTTTCAAAAACCACATGAAGGAACTGCTAAAAATACACTCTTCCTTTGCTTTTACGTTTAAAAGCCACAGGTTTCAGACACTTGATCTAGGAGAAAATCCCTATGCAAAAAGTATTTCTAAAAGAAAGCGTGTGTGGGTGTGTGTGTGCGTGTGTGTATGTGTATAAAAGCTTCCCACACCTGTGTGCAAAACGTCTGAGCAATCTCTCTATTTGAACAGCAGGTGGCAGAAGAGATCCATTAAAAAGTCAATGGAGAAGCTGTTGAGAACTTAAATCAGGCAATGGTACCATGGTTGTTTTTAAAGTAGTTTAGTTTAAGTTTGCTTAGATGTGTGTAGGTTTTTATTGGTTGAATTTTTCCTAAAGCATTAGAATGTTGTCTTTAATCCAGATACAATTTTTACAAATTGATACTTTGCTTTATTCACTGTTTCCCACACATAAAATGCATTCTTCCAAGATTTAAACTGTTAAACACATCTAACAACAACGTGTTTCTGCTATTGAGTTGTGAACCATTTAGCTTAACAACCATGTTCTGTCTCTGTCTCTAACGTAGCCCCTCCTTCCACGACTCCTGCTCCCAAATCAGCGGAAACTCCTAGTGAAACCGGCAGCCAGGACTCTGATGGAGCCGTGGGACCCAGGTACACAAACACACCAAAGAATCCCTCAGCAAGAGTCCAAACCGCAGCACAGGAATTTACAAGTGTGGAGAGCATCCAGGCTTCCCTGTTTCGGAAGATATTTCCTACCTATAGCAAATTCTAGATATTTATTGCTTCATTGCGTCTCTTATAAAAGATAATTCTCTCTTTTTTTTTCTCCTGCTTTGACATGTGATCAACCTTTTGCAGATTGCAGATGTATTTTGCTGTAAATGTGCTGAGACGTATTGTCAGCTTGTGTGTTTTGCTTTTATGTGCCTGTTGCTACGTTTCACTGTGACATAAAGGTCACAGATGCCAATAAGTCCTGCAGCTTACCTTAAACTCAGATTAGCTCTGCCGTTGCTGCAGTGAGTGATGACAAATTTATGCCAACCGAGGACATGTTTATTTCATTTATGTGCCACCAAATTAGAACGCTCCCAAATTAACAATGAAACAGCGGGCTGCTGTGACGCCTGGGGGACTTCTTAACCCCTAATTAGAGCCCCCTTCCCTGGGCTGAAATTCAAGCTCCCCCAGTGTCCCATCAGGCCCGGTAAGCTGTTCCCACTACGTGTTGACTCATTTCCCTCACCAGCATGGCCATTTCCTACACACATGGAGGTCATGTTTTCTCCCAGAGGGCTCCCCTCTCCACCGCCACCATTCTGGCTACATAATGCTCAAAGCCTTTGGTGTGACAAAGTTTGGACAGAATCATTGTTTAATTTCTGGGATTTTTTTTGGCTGGGAAATTAAATCTGTATTGGATATTTAATGGTATAAGTTGAACGGACTTTCTATCGTTCCAATCAGCATGTTCTGATGCTAACATTATCTGGTCTCTTCATTTGTGCTTGCTTGTCTATCTGTCTGTCACTAATGCTGCCTTGTTGCTGTGACACTAATCAGGACTCTGCACTGGGACTCTGACCCGTCCACTCTTCAACTTCACTCTGATTCTGAGCTGGGGTACTGGACACTCTCTTCTCTCCTTTCCTGGTCATTTTCCTTTCTCTCAATCTATGGCATGATTACTTTAGCTTTCAGGGTCATTGTTAAGTTGATTCAGTCCAGGAGAAACGGTGACGTCATGCATGTTGAAAAGATCAGATTATATAGCGCTAATAAATTGTGAACTAAATTGGGAATCAATTTCTTTCACGGTACCAAGAAAGACAAATTATTTAGATAAGCTAAAGAGTTTGTCTGAGTGAGGTGAGAATTACAGCAAAATATATTAAGGACGGTTAATATATTTAACCACCATGTTTAGGTGGTGCAGAGTTTGAGTTGTTCTGTGCTTTATAGGCGCGTGACTCCAAAACTGGGAATGGCCAAAGTCACACAGGTGGACTTCCCACCACGTGAAACAGTGTCCTACACCAAGGAGACTCAGACACCAGCCCCCGCCCAGGCTAAAGAAGGTAATTTACGTTTTTGGGGGATTTTTTTAGATGTTTTCGTTCAAAATCCGTGCTTTCTTTGTGCAACTTTGCCCCGTCTCTACTGATTTCAGCTAATTCCACTTTCTCTCTAAAAATGAATTTATATGTATATATAATTCTTTTTTTTTTTCAGTTGTCCCCACACGATCATTAAATATCTTGTTAGAAGCGAGCGCAGCACAATATATAAAATCACAGTCAACATCGCAATTTCCGAGTGTGCAATTTAAAAGGACTTCTTGGATGCGACATCAGTAGGACTGCATGGTATCAGGGAAATATTTAATTGCAACGCTATGTTTGAAAATTACGATGACTATATTAATTACAATTAACCCACATTTGCTGACACTTTTCTTTCTTTACCATTATGAAATTTTCCTGCCTCTCAGTGAGCTTTAATGTCTCAGCGGTTTAAGATACACATCAGCTGTGGGCATTAAACATAGTTAGAGTCCATTCAAAAGGCCAATGTTATTGCATATCGCGTGATGTATAAGCTGTTGCCTATAATTCGTATCAGTACAATCAGTGTATACTGATATGCGGCGTGTAAAAGCCTTGCTCAGAACATATATTATCCTACTAAATGTTGCACCCAAGCAATCATTTGTGTTTGCAATGTTGCAAAAAGTAGTATTAAAATGATTATTTCATACTCTCTTCAAATGTATACTAATCATCAGGGTGTAAATGAAATAATCTAGCACCAAAGTTGGATGAAGTGCAAACTGTCTTTTATACCTACACCTGTTACAGTTCATAGTGATTAAGATGCTAAAGCTCAGGGGAAGTGGTGGGTTCACAGTGGAAAGGAAAGAAGAGTGAGAATAATATGAGTTAAATCTAATATTCAATAATATTGAAGCTATTTGACTTTCTTTTAAATCATGCGACCCTATTTGGAGCAGAGGTGATGTCACACTATGTAAGAGAGATCAGTTGCTGAAAAAACAGATTTAACAATTTTTTGAAATCAAGAAAACAATTACAGAGTTGATGTGAAAAGAATGCTATTTTTAGCATCCCAAATGCTAAAAATAGTGCCGGTATGCTGAAACTGAAATGTTTTTTGCTTTTTAAACTTTCTGTTATTTGCTGAAAATCTTGCTCTCTCTCAGAGCTTGAATTAAACAGACATTTTGTCTTTTAAGTAGCTTCCTGGATCCCACTGCTTCTCTGATTTCACTTAAGCACCACTGAAAATAATTACCTTTGTGTCTTCTTTCTGCTATAACAACGTCCACACTGAAGAGTGTTGTTGTTACCATGACCGAGTAGCCCTTTGATATGTCATCTGCAGCGGTGCAGGAAATAACAAAAATAATTTTGTTATTCACAGGTCAAGCTAAAAATCATCTAGTTCTGATCACAAGCTGATTTCTCTGTTCAACTCCTCTCATTCATTATGTGCGGACTAATGAGGTTTCAAAATGTTGTTTTTTTTTTTTTTAAGATATGTATTATTTCTTGAGATTGGAGGGGGGGGGTGAGGGGGGGCAGTAACGGGAACATTTGGGGAAAAGAGAGAAATGAATGATTTGTATAAAATATTTACAAAGCCCTGAGATGAAAGTGATGGAAAAATGAGATGTAGGAAACACAAGAAGTCAGAGCAGAGACTCGGTTCAGACGGGCTCTGCTCCTCTGAACCCCACCAGCAGCTCGGCTGCTCGGCTGTAATTAGCGAGCAGGATGAGAAACCAGTGACAGGAAGGAGAAATGCGATTGGAGCGGAAGATATGAAGCGTTGTGCGTTCAGCTGCTTATTGCCTCTGAAGCGTGTTGATATGTATGTAATTGCTGCTCCAAAGCTTTCATGTGGGTGGACAAACAGAATATTTGTGCCGAAATCCACATGTTGAACACATGTTGTATTAAATATTCAATATTCCCAGTTGAGCTGCTTGTTCTTGGATGACTTTTTTGTTGTTGTTTTATTTTTTGCAACAACAGATGGTGAATAACGGGCTTGTCTGACAACCTGATGAGGATTTTGGTTTTGATCCTTCACTTTGAGCTACTGGATGAATTTGTCTTTTGACTCGTCTCAGTTTGCACCAGTTAACACACATCTTCAGGGTCCATGAAAGCTTTGTTTGGATTTTAAACAGTGTACTGATGTGTAGAAAATTCAGAGATGACATGCAGAGTGCGTAAGGTCAGATCTTTCTCTTGTTTTAAAAAGAGGCTTGTGGGGGTATACCACAAACCAGACTAGTGAAGGATGAAGAGCATCTTTTTTTGCTCCTTATTTCTCCGGCCTCCACTGAGTATAGTAAAACTGTGTTAAACAACGATGCTCTCTGCCAGCTGTTCAACACAGAGCCCCCCTTCCCCTCTCTGCCACTATGTAATCATTTCATCAACTCCTTCGCTTCCCCTGTCTTCTCCCTTCACCGAACAGGCACATAACAAAACGCACTCAGTGACATTGTGCATTTTCACACCATCACTTCTGGCGCCCGATGAGACGGCGATGCCTCCCCATCTTGCTCCCGTTTGCCACATTTGTGATGCGTGGGGTGGCGTCTGGCCTGCTTTCTGATTGAGTGATTTATCGTGTTGTGGAAAGGAGGCAGCGGCGCCGCACTCTCAAGGTCAGCAGGCGGTGGCATTAGAGGGAGCGGCTATCGCGCCCTGGCTGCTGCAGCTTGAGGGTTCCCACTGAGTGTTCCTGACATAGAAGATTCGAGGACACCAGCTATGTTCACACCTATAAGGGAGAACAAGAATGAGCAATCAGAGAGAACGCTATCTAATTTGCTTGTTTTTTTTTTCCTGAGAAGCTTCTGCTGATGCTGCAAAATGGTGCTACTAAGCAACCCTTGATGTCCCAGTGAACTTGAAATCTTGTAGTCTTTATCTTATTTTTATGTGTAGAAGAAAGTATTTGTAGTCACAATACAAGAAAGTAATACTTTTTGGGACCTAAATTGTTCTGATGCTCGATAATTTTATATTAGACACCAAAAGGCATCAGATTGTTTTCATAATCAGATGCCTTCTGATGTCATTTCGTTAATTATGTCAGAGTTGTAATGTATAATTAAAAAAAATATTTGAATAATCTAAAAAACTGACTATAAAAGGGTTTTACTTACATTTAAATATGGAATTTAAATATTCATCAAAAATGTGATTGTGATTATATCAAGCAAAGATATTTCTACAATTAAATTTTTTTGACAATTTGGTGGTGAAGCACCAAGTCTTTGAGATTGGTAGGCCTCCTTGCCATCACCCTCATCTTTAAATCCCTTTAAATCCAGACTCAAGGCTGAACTGTGTTCAGGCCATTCCAAAATGTCATTACCTCTGCTCAGAAGAAACATGCTGGCAAAATTGAACGACCAGTGTTAAACCTGATTCTACCAGTGTTCATAAATATTTTTTTATCCTAACTTTATTAAGAAAATAATAAAACCATACTTAAAACCTATACATTATCTTTCTTTATCGTATCCTTTTTTGTTTTTCTAAACCCGACTTTAAATGACTTGCAGCCGTTTTCTGTATCATTTGGGGAAAATTAGTTTTTACATTTACGATATCATGTTTGGATTAAATTGTCGTCTTTCTGTTAAAAAAGTCATATCCAGTAACAGCATGATGAAAAAACATGAAAGTCAAAGTTTAAAGATGATTTGGCAGCTAAGTGAGCTGCAGACAGACCTTAGAAAAAACAGTTTCTCTTAAATAAATCTTTTGTGCTTCCTATAATATTTATATAAAACACTTTGTAGACATAATGGAGAGCTGACCTGGAACGTTATTTGCTGCTAAGATGTGCTGGTAGTAGCACAAAGTATTCATTTAGATGTTAAAAAATAAAAATTTAATTTTTTGTGGTTCATCATCTCGTCACTGGTCCAGAAATTCGGTCAGACTGAAAATTGGAGGATCAACAGAGAATAACTGGTGCATCTGTATTTTGTTGGGCTTCATTTCTTTTGATTTTTTCCACATGGCTATTTGTGAGACATCTGATTAGTTTTACTAGTACGCAGGGCGGTACAAGACCATATGACTAACTCCTATCATAAAAGTTAATTGAGTTTAAAAAACAAGCCTGGAGAAGAATCTTTTGCTTTCAGAGCAATAAAGCTGACATTTAAATTCACAAAGCAACACTACTAGTTTTGTTTAGTTTTCAGACACTAAATATGTCAGAAGTAAGCATTAAGGGCAGTCAAGACCATATGTATCAAAAACCATTAGTATCAAACAATGAATTTAAAAGAATTGGTTTATTAATTTAAATACAAATCCTGACTGCAAAGTTAACTGAATAAACATTTTTCATTGCAGTAATGTAAACAGCACGCTTTCCATTAGAGTTGCACAGCATATCAAGTCATGATTGTCCTTTGTCATTCCTGCAAAGGGTTGCTTTGAAGCAAAATTTTGCCAGCTATTATATATTCAAATGTGATACGTTCATGCTCTGCATGCAAAACATATACATTCAGTATATTGGCTAAACTTTGACTGCCCTTAATGCTTACTTCTGATATATTTAGTGTCTGAAACATGTGAAGAGTTGTGATGACAAAAAAGGAAAGACTCAGGTGTAATTGTCATAGGCTCGGTTTGTTTTCCTAATTTCTATTTCCAATTCATTGATGTCTCTCCATATGTGTGGAGTTTGTAGTGAAGGAAGTGTGTTAATCTACTAAACTGGTGAACGTGTCAATGCTGCAGTATTCCCAGACTGCATCAATATGCTCTCTTCAATAAAAGGCTGTAATTATGGAGTAAGATATTGTTGGACGCTGTGGGGGGGGTGGATTGGTTGGTTCAGCACTGCGTTTCAAAAGACTCGTCAGGAACACAAGTACGCCGAGCGGTTCAGTAGATCTCATATTTAATTGAATGTGATTGTTTTAATCACTTTGAATGTAGAGGTAGGTCAAAACTTTTAATCATAAAGTCCTTACAGGCCTGCTTGCTTCAAGTGCCACTTGGAATTGTGGTCAGCTTTTATGCACTTGATGATTAGTAGTGCTTGAATATCTGTCATAGAGTAGCTGATCATTTCAAGGAGAAAATTTGATGTTTTTCTTTTTTAAATTTTCTCATTGTATGATTTTTTTTTTTATTAATGTGCGCCCTTTTTGATTTTAACATGCAAGCCTCCTTGATGTTTACTTTTTTCCTTCAACCAATACTGCCGTTTGCTATTTACAAGGTTTTGATAATACTCTTATGTTAGAACCACTTTATTTCTCAGATGAACGATGATAGTATTATTATATGTCTGTGGTATTAGACTACTGGTTTCCTGTAGGTTTGTAAGTGGGGTTTGAGAAATATCAACTTATGCCTGAAAACATAGGATTTTCAGCTTGATCGTTCCAGACCAGTGATATCCTGGTTGGTCGAAAACTAAAATCAGATCTTGTTTTTAATCCTTGATCACACTATGCTAAGCTCTACCAGGTTGCAGTAGCAACACAACTCTTCACTTAGCTTTACATTAAGGTAGAGGGATCACAGCTACTTAAAAGGTTGCTGTATTTGAATGAAATATGGAGACTTATCGTGGTGAATTCAGGCTGCAAGAGAGCTTGACTTCATCAGATAACAGACTGAATGGAGTATTCATGGAGAAATCTATTTACAGATTTTCTAGACCAGGACTCTAAATTATTTGTAGAAAATTCACCTATTTGTGAATTTTTCAGTAGCTCATATCCAAAATATGTGGTTGGAAAAATGCTATGTTGACTGCTAAAATACCTAGATGCAATGCTAGTGGACATGCTATTGCCTAGCATTTGCAAAACAGGCCAATCAAGGAGTGCCATTTATTTTCCTTAGCACTAATTTGCTGCATCCTCAACAGTAGAAATAAGAAAGATTTTAGACATTATTTTCTGTGGTAGTGCCAACTATGTGAATTAAGGTGTATTTGGGTTTTATTTAGAAATACAGGCAGTTTAAGGCATTTTTGAAGGATCTAAAAAATTTGTAAATTTTGGCTATGTGTTTGTGGCTGGTGGTTTATAACCCCTGACCCTTTTTTATTTTTCTTTCAACAAATGTTATGATTCCTGGTGGATTTAAAACTGCTCTTTTGACATCCTAAAGCAAAGGTTGAGGATTGGTTTCTCAAGAAATGCATGCAGTCTACTGGTTTAGAATGGTAGCTACGATAGCTTCACTGAATGTTAATATCAGTTATTGACTTCACAGTAGAAATATTTGTACCTTTCCCACATTTGGCCTGACTTAGCCTCTGCTCCAAATATGAATAAAATCATAACTAAATATAGACTTCATGACTGGACTAGAGAACATCCTTTCAGTGCCATTCCTATAGTTCCTTATATCATTCTAAAATCTGTATCAGCAAATCAAAGCTTTAAAAAAGCCATAGACTAAAATTTAACCTCAAAAGTTTGATCTGTACATCTCTGATCTTTGAGTTCTTAAAGTGTGACGCTGGAGACAAAGCCTGGCTGACTTCTCCAGCTGTGTACAACAGTTGTTTAATACTTCTTCATTCTTTGCCAGGTTTGCATTAATGTATTGTCTGTTGACTTGGACTTGCCGTTGCTCTTTCCACCCCTCCACTCCCTGTCCTATCCTGCTTCCCCCCACCCCCAAAAAAGCTTTTATTTCTTAAGTGGTACAAAAGCCATAATTGGTCTTGCTTTGAAAGAGGTGTCAGTGTATGGGACATTGGTGATCCGGGTGAATTCTGTTAAATGCAACCCACCCACCCTTGCTGCTTCTGCCCCCCACCCGCACGCGCGCACAGCCCCCAGCGGGGTCACCAGGATCACTAGCTTTTCTCCAAATGGCCATTTTGGCTGGCAGGTGCATTATACCCTTTATTTTCAGATTGTCTGTCCGCTCCTAATGCCTGGCAGGTTGATTGCTCCGGCTGCCTCGCCAGGGAAAGGGCTGACGAGCGCGGCCAGGACTAGCTGAAAGACAGTGATTACTGTTTTCCTTTAAGCCTGATTGAGGCCCTTGAAAGGAAAGATTTTAACCTTCTCCTGTTGGGAGTTGGGTATGGCTGCACATCGAAATGGCTCGTGTCATCAACCCGATTCTGTAAACTCATCAGCGCTCCCAATAACCTTCGTCCCTCAACCCTCCGTCTGAGGAAAAGGATAAATCACTTTATGGACAAAGTGACGGATGACATTATCATTTAGATTATCTCACTGGGAGAGAAACTCTTGCTTGTGGTGTGGTGATCTTAGATTAACTGCAAACGCCTTTGGAAACAAAGCAAGAACGTCCCCCTCCCCAGTTTGAATTGCTTCTTTTTCTCCTTTCATTTCACGTTTAATACCACCTCGAGAAGATGTCTTGGGAAGAATCACGTTAGTCGTCTTTGAGGTGAAACCTGTGTGCAGTTTGCCAGCTGGTGTGGCCTGTATTTTGTTGTACATTCTTGGAGCCTGAATGGGAGCTGCAGGACCTCCTGCCAGGACGGTAATTGCACAGGCTTGCCGTTCAGGGGGAGGCTTGTCTGGAGGCGGCCATGCAGAAAACCTCTGTGCCATCCCCATGCCACCTCTGAAGTGCGCAAGACAATCCCTGCATCACCATCTGCTTTTGCACCATGCCGTCATCTGGTCAAGTCCAAAAGGATGGGCCGAGGCAGCTGCTCCTCACCCTCTGCCCCGTGGCCTATAAGGGGGCAACCTGCAACTGGGACACAGAGGAAACGGCGACACTGACAGCCAGACTCCCTTTGAATGGATTGTGTCTCATTAACAGTTGGGGAAAGACAGGGGTCCCTATGACAACAAGACACCCGCTGCGCCGTGTCCCTTTAACACAAACTTCCCTTCTATGAAGGAGCAGGTTCCTCTTTGAAAAGCAACATAGTGCTGACAAACCAAACAAATGCAAGCCAGAGATACAAAATCACTCTGTTGCTGCGCCGGTAATCACTGGGTGGAGCTTTTATTGAGAGCGACAATAATGAAGGTGTGAAATAAAACAGCCAAGCTGCATGAAGCATCCGTTTGGAGGCGTAATCGTTCCTCTTGATAAAGTTTTCCACTTCATTTTGATTTTTAAATGCTATTGTAATATAGAAATCTGACAAAAACAGGTAATCGCAAGGATATAACCTTTTAGGGTTTGTTTTACACATCAGGAGATCATGTTTGTAGAGGCTCGTTTAATCTGTGATCTGAGTTTTTATGACTTTTTGATCAACAGAGGAAGAAGAGGAGGAAGAAATTGCTCCAGCTCAACCAGTAGTCAAGGATCAAACTGAGAAACTGGACCAGAAAGAAGAAGAAGAAGAAGAAGAAGGTAGTTCACTACTACTAATCCTAACTACTAAAATTTCAATTGGAGTTGTCGGGATTTTTACAGAGCATCGCATAGACACCTCCCAAAGACATTCATACACCTTTAGATAGACCATCACAAAATGCTTTTGAATCCACAGCCCTTTACCTTAAAATCGACGGCTTTTAGAACTGTAATTCTGACCTCAGAGGTTTAGTAGAAAATAACCAGCATCACAAGGCCAGGCAGACAAAACACTAATAAGAGAAGCAGTAAAGAGGACCTACTATTAATCTGGATCTGCAGAGATCTAAAACTCAGATGGAAATATCTGGCAGTAGACTAACGATTATCCAACTGTGAAATTGTCATACTTATAATAACGCCATAAAAAGTCCAGCTTGCATTTTGCCTTAAGCCATGTGGTTACCCTGGTCAGTTGAGACAAAAATGTTGCTTTTTATCCCATAAGGGGAAAAAACCCAAACGTCTTTGTAGTAATCCACACAGTGACAAATCGTTGTGGCAGCATCACAGTGTGATTCACACAATGTGATTGAAATCAAAGAGAAACTGTGAAGAAAAAAACAATTCCTTTTCACAGATTTTCTTCCAATCTATCTGAATGACTTAAGCTATTTTGTCAGGAAGAACAGGCAACAACGTTGCTAGTAAGCCTTTCAACTGCAACTCATCTGAAATTTTCAGGAATTTCAATTGTAGAAAAAAACCAATTTGTACTGGTCTGCCATATAGAATTCCAATAAAATCCATTAACCTTTGTGGTTCTGGCTTGACAAAAAATGGAAAAAGTTTACTTTTGCAATTCTTTTATTTTCCACATCTCCACAACAGTAAGTTTCTGTTTCCTTGTCAAGCCCCGCCGCATGAGCTGACCGAGGAGGAAAAACTTCAGATCCTCCACTCCGAGGAGTTTGCCAACTTCTTCGACCAGAGCACTCGCATTATCGAGCGAGCGCTCTCCGAGCATGTGGACATCTTCTTTGACTACAGCGGTCGTGACCTGGAGGACAAGGAAGGGTGATGGAGCTTAATTCAAAAGCTGTAATTGTTTATTTGGAGTATTACTTTTTATTGACTGATGTTCTTTCCTGTCTAGGGAAATTCAGGCGGGAGCGAAGCTTTCACTGAACAGGCAGTTCATGGACGAGCTTTGGTCCAAAAATCGGGTCGTCACCTGTCTGGACTGGTCTCCACAGGTGATTTTCTCTGACAGTTGCACCATTTTAACACATCCCTCAAAGCGCCATTATGCAATTGTTTAATCAAACTCCCTTTTCTAAAAACATTAAAAATTGAAGGAAAAAGTGAATGTAATGGTTTATAATTGGCTTTTTAAAGGGCTTTGATCATGTTTTATGGCTACCTTGCTTCAGTTTGACAACATTTCCCTTTCAGCCAAAACTCCCTGAGGAAAACCCAAGTTTGGTCCTGTACACTTTGTAGCCGAGTCCGCCGGCTGTAATGATTTATTTCCTCTGGTGTCTAAGGTCATTTCACTCCTGATTCTGCAATGGATTTTGACAGTGACTGAGCACCACCTCTTTGTTCACTGTATTTCTAGCCCAGAGCAACATTAACACCTGAAAAACCTCAGCAGCCTCCTGCAATCATCCACAACGTGTTTGTATATTTAGATGCTGTTTCCTTTATGATTTTGGATGCAGTTTTATCATCCTTTTGAAACAAAGTTTTTAAAAAAAAAATTTTTTTTTATTGATTTTTCTGAAACTGTTCCTGAAGTAGTCATGTTTTTATGAAACAATTAAAGTAATAAAGGATATTATTGAGGATCTGAAGTGAGCCACAAGTATGTACGAAAAGAGTCACTTTTTTTTCCAGCAATGACGTTTTGGCTTTTTGAAAATTTTATTTTGTTTTAAAATTTTATTTGTTGAAAAAAAAATTAAAATAGAAGCCATCATTCCACACGTTTTATTTCTATAGTTCAGAGTGATGTCAAATAGGCATCGTGTTTGACAAGCATGTTTTACAGATTTTCTTATTTGGATCTTGAATTCAGGTCAACGCTAAGATAGAATATAAGGGCCAGGCTACAATTTTTAATTTAATTTTTTTTTTACAGTAAAATCATTCCTTACATATCAATAGTCATTTTATCAGGAGACTTCAATTGTAGTTTTATGAAAACTCCTTCACAAAAGTAGCAAAAAACCAAAATGATGAGTTTTCATATGTTGCGTCGTTATAATTTGCAGTCAGTTTTACGATAGTTTTTTTTCTTCTGGTAAAGTTGAATATATGGTCTGCTAATATTACGACTTTATATTCTTGCAGCCTAGCCCTAATACTCCATCGTACAATTCACAGAAGAGGAGATTGAATGAAAACATTAATTACTTAATGTTTTTGACGTTTTTAAGAAAAGAAAGCGAGAAACAATTTTTGCTAAAATTGGATCTGACATGACAAAAAGTAGAGATTTTATTTTGAAGCTATATTTCCCAGTCCTATACCAGCAGGTGTTGCTTTTCCAAATGCAACTAGATGTGAGGAGTATATCTATTTTATCCATTTGTTTTCTTTTTTCTTTCACTAGTATCCTGAGCTCCTGGTCGCCTCCTACAACAACAACGAGGAGGCTCCACACGAACCAGACGGCGTGGCTTTAGTCTGGAACATGAAGTACAAGAAAGCCACGCCAGAATACGTCTTCCACTGTCAGGTACCAAAACCAACATTCCTCACTTTTCCTTCTTGAACTCCCTTCTGTGTTTTTTTTTTGTTTGTTTTTTTTTCTGCCCCACCCCCAAAAATCCACCTCGCGCCACAAGTGTGGAACATCGCCAACCCTTTCGCTCCCCCCTTCCTGCCTCCAGTCACATGGTGAGTTCACCACGCTGGCATTCACCTCCACCACATCTTTCCACAAACACATGTTCTGGAGAAGACCCGTGGCGCAAGACCTGAACGGACTCCAAGAGCTCCAGCAGGATTAAGTGTGGGTGGGTTTGGGGGTGTGGAAGAGGAGGGGGCGCAGGGCTGGTTATCATGTGCATCTAAACAAGGGGTCTGTGTTCAGACAGAGCGAGCTGGGAGAGCAGTTGAGCGCCATGGCTCTGCTCAGCTTTATATTAATGCTGCCCCGAGGCTCCTTCACCAAGACGAGTTGAGTAGAACCACATGTTGCCTTCAGAGCGGATGTCATCGAAGGCTCGCTGCTGAGATGAATAAAACTGAACAGAAGTGTGAATGCAGTTTGCTTTTTAGTTGGCTCAAAAGCTGATTGTTTTTTTTTTTTTTTTTTCCTTTTCTCCACTTTTTTGTCACATTTTTTACCTCTCGAAATAATGTGATCTCCATGATTATTTGATTAAAAGGTGGTTGTAGCTGAAGCGGTCAGAGTGTTTATAACACCTTAACTGCAGTCCAAACAAACATGGATTCTATTAGAAAGTTAGTTTGTCAACACTGGTGGATATACAAATCTGGTTTCATTTTTGTTTTCCTGGGCAAAAATGGAAATATTTTCATTTTAATATGAAGCATAATCAGAAAAGAACACACTGGTTATTAATATTCTGGAAGAATATGAGACAGGTGATGAGCTACCTGTCTAATCATGGGGTCAGTAAGATAAACTTGAAGTAAAATGTCGCAGCAATTTAAATTTGACACAAATTCAAAGACGGGAATTTAAAACACGATTTATTAGCTTTTAATTTCAAAAGGAAAATCAATAATTGTACTTTCTGCTGTTAAAGTAATGTTACTACATTAAAAATGATGACGCCTTTCACATTGTTTTTGCTTTTCAAACATAGCAGCAAATATACAGATTCTTTAAATGAAGTCCTAAAATGAAAAGGCAGGGACTCTGTCCCTTCAGATTGCAGTCTCGATGTGGGAATGTTCAGCAGTAGTTTGTTTGTGAGTCCAGCTGGGGTGTGATGACATGAAACGTGCTGCTTGAAGCTCGACTGCTGTACTTTTAACGGTTTTACCTTGATGGGAGCATTAGGTGTTGCTGCTTGAGTTCCTACTCAACTTGGGAAAAAATGAAATGAAAAAGTCGCTTAAAAAGAGATTCAGACAACATGAAGTAGGATTGAACATGTCAAAAAGTGACTCTTCATGAAAGAAATTCAAGAACAGATGAGAAATAAAATGATTTCAAAGGATTTGAGAGGTTGGCAAACCATTCATGACTCAGTAAAGAGCCTGATTATGTACTTGCTGTAACATTAATTTGACTAAATCTGAACTGAACTGAAAGGGGACGTCCATCAAGGTCAAAACCACCGTGGATCAAAATGAACACAATCATATCGTCATAATCAAAAAAAAAAAAAAACATTTGTGGAAGGTTACACATGGCATTAAACTAACAAGATTACAGAAAAAGAACACCGTGATTATCTGCAGCTGCTTTGCCTGGACGACTGGCTGAAAACAAAGGAAACATGAACTCTGCTTTCTAACATTGAATGTCTGACCTCTGAGTGACTCAAGAAGCAAAGTTGAGTTCAGACTTGAAGTGGATTTAGATGCTGTATAGCAGGGGTCTTCAACGTCCGCCCTGAAGAATCCTGCGACTTTTAACCGCATCTCTGCTTCAACACACTTCCACGAAATAATTGGGTTTATCAGGATTTTGGAGAATTTAACTGGGTAACACTTTATTTGACGGCTTGTGAATAAGACTGTCATGACACTGTCATTAACATGACATAACACCTGTCATGAACATGAGTAAGTCTTCATGAATATTTATGACTGTTGTCATAAAGTGTCATTCGGTAAATCACAACACTTTTAACATAAAGCTGACATCATTCAAATTGTCTTTGTTATGACAACTTGACATTAACCAAGAAATCATGATCTGATATAAATGTGTTATAAAAGTATTGCTGATTAAACTTCAGCTTTAATAATATAAAGCTACATCATTTTCAAAGTTCAATCAGTGTCATGACAGTCTTGTTCACACGTTACCCTTAACTGCACACTCAGGAGGTAATTTAGTCATTTAATTCAGGTGTGTTGGACCAGGGACACATTTAAAAGTTGCAGGACACCGGCCCTTTAAGAACTGTAGGTGTTGACCCCCTGATTTGGAGTGACCTTATGCTCCTATCCACTGTGACTGTTTTTAAACCAGTTCAGGCTCACAGAGGAGTGGGTCATAGTTCCTCCATAGCAAAGCAGTCCATTGCCAGTTATCACGACTGCTTGACCAATTATTGGGATTTGGGAGCAATCACTTTCATAAGTGCATTTTTGTCTTCTCTCAGTTTGGTGATGTGAAACATTTTTAAATATTATGGGTAAATTGGGCCTGTCACAATAACAATTTTTACTGGAATTGTCCAATAAACATAACATTGTTGTCTTGTGATTGTTTTGCCCTCTTAAGGACTTATATTTTGTACAGAACACTTAACACTGGAGTTGCCACTCATTTTAAATACCCAAAATGAAGTACAGCTACAAACTACGAGGAGAATGGAAATAAAAACCACACAGAAGCAAAACTATAAATAAAATTGATTATGGAGTTTTTATAAACAAAACTACCCTTCAAAAAATATTAATCACCAGAATGGAAAGCTCATTTTAATTTTATTATGCAATTGATTTGTCAATGAAAGAGTGAAATAGTGATATATTCAGGCTTTCTGAAGGCCATACCAAATTCATCTTTAAGCTTTGCTTTTTCTCAGATTATCTCTTCTGTCTCTACACCTGAACATATTGATTTGTCCAGTCTGACAGTCGTCTGCAGCACTTGGCCCATCTTAAAGTGAGGTTTGAAGAACTAGAAAAAAGTAGGTGGTTCATTTTAATTGGTTTAATGAAATACAGGGTGAGCAAAATGAGTGAAAAAGAAGGTAAAATATGAAAAACAGCCTAAAGAAATAACTCTCATTAGTGTCTTTAGAAGATTCAAAGTTTAGCTTCTGGAAGCCAAACACACATAAACCAGTTGAGTTTGGTTCTCAGACGGTTTCTGTCGACCTTTACTCAGCTGGAAGCGTCAGCTTCACTCGGGTATGTTGCATTGCAACACGAAATGAATCACCTCATTTTTTAGTCCGTTTCTCCCACAGTTAATGAAATGCAAACCATGAGTCAGGTTTTCCCTCAAAAGTTCACTTGAAATGTTTCGTTTGTTTGATAAGCATCAGAGATCTTCACTCTTTGACCTTTTTTGTCTTGCAGTCGGCAGTGATGTCTGCGGCATTTGCCAAGTTTCACCCAAACGTCGTGGTTGGGGGAACGTACTCTGGGCAGATCGTTCTGTGGGACAACAGGAGCAACAAGAGGACCCCGGTGCAGAGGACCCCGCTCTCAGCAGCAGCACACACGGTACTGCGGACGCCCCGAGCAGGCGGATTAACATGATTTACCTTCACCGTAGTAGCAGAAAATAAATTCACCCTCACTGCGTTCGCAGCACCCGGTGTATTGTGTGAACGTAGTCGGCACGCAGAACGCCCACAACCTGATCAGCATCTCAACGGACGGCAAGATCTGCTCCTGGAGTCTGGATATGCTCTCCCAGCCGCAGGTGAGGAAAACTCAGACCTCTGTCCGCACAGAGAAGCGCTGATCCGAGCGATGTTGCTGTTTGTGCTAACTCGATATTTGGAAGCGTGGCCAACACGGACCGAACAGCTTCCTTCACGTTTCCTGCTGCCATTGCTAAAACTACAGGCCACAATTCTAATACGGCGCAGAAAATCGACGTCACCTTCCACAACTTCTCTTTCTGTTCGCTGGAGACTAGAACGTGTTACTCCGAGTCTCATTCATGCTGAATGTCACTTCCAATTAACTTCAACATTCAAGTTCACTTGTTCTTCACTCTGAAGGACGTAGTTATGGTCCACTTGTCCTGCCAAGATTCTGATGTCAGAGTACTGGGTTCGCACGACTGAACTATGCTTTGAGTTTAATAGGTTGCGATATCTGTAACGGACGTCCCGTGTTTTCTCTCCACAGGACAGCATGGAGCTCGTCTTCAAGCAGTCCAAAGCCGTCGCCGTCACCTCCATGTCCTTCCCTCTCGGAGACGTCAACAACTTTGTGGTGGGCAGCGAGGACGGCTCCGTCTACATGTCATGTCGTCATGGAAGGTGGGACCGCAGCCCACTTCCCCCCCCCCCCCCTTTTTTTTTTCTTCCTCAAAACTCCTGCAGGAAGCTGAGGCAACCTGTTAAGCCCACCTAGGACCGGGTGTCAAATAAATAAAGCCCACTCGCTTCCCAGCACAGCCCAAATCCAGCACTTGATCTCCTGCTGTTTGAGGTTTCACTCCTGCCCAGTCATCCTGTTTTTCTTTTCCGCTTGTCAGTTTATGTTTGCAAAGGTCATTCAATATAAACAGGGCACACATGCAGGGGAAACAAATCATTTTTTCCCCTCTCGGCGTGTTTCTGCGCTCCAGACAGTTTGTTTACAGTCCGTTGTCCCAGAGAGAATTAAAACTACAGTTCATCCCACAATGTTCCCGTCTGTGAGTCCGGAGCTGCCCTCCCCGAGTGTCCAAATGTGGCTTGAATCAGCGCAGCCGCTCGGTGGCGAGTCGAGCCACCTCCGCGGTGCATCCAGAGAGGGCATCGCTTGCGAGGTTCTGCACAGCAGAATCACCTCTGTAATTGGGGGGAATAATTTTCCACCTCATTTACAATGGTGTGATACTCTCATCGCAGTTAATAATGCATAAGCATCACTCATGCTGAGTATTTACCCCTCTACATTAATTATCAGAGCCTCAGTTGGATAACAGCTCTGCAACATGTGGTTGAAGGGACGCGGGCACTTTCTGCCTCCCTGCTGCTAATTACATGATCTAAGTAAATGATTACTGTGAGCGTGTCCAGGAGAGGTCCGTCTGCGCCCGGCGAGTCCCTTCACGCTTAATGAAACGCTTAAATAGTCGCCAGCAGCCGCAGAGCCGACTGTTAACCTTTTTAGGGCTTTGTTGCTCTGAAAGCTTGGGCGCGGTGTGAGCATGCGTATCTAATCCGCGGGTCAGTTCTTCGCATCTGCTGCTCGTTATCACGCTCATTCGGATGTGTGCGCTCCACAGCAAAGCGGGGATCAGCGAGATGTTTGAGGGCCACCACGGCCCCATCACCGGGATCCACTGCCACACAGCTGCAGGGCCGCTGGACTTCTCCCACCTGTTTGTCACCTCGTCCTTCGACTGGACCGTCAAGCTGTGGAGCACCAAGGTAAGGCTGCTAAAAGGCCAACGCAGGAGATGTGAGGGGTTTCTTAAACTGCAGCGGTTGTGAGTTTTTGGTGCAACTTCTTTTTCCAATTTTGTCAAAGTTTGTCAATTTTGCATCTTTGTACAAAACAAACCAGTTTCATTTAATCTTCCTTTTACCATGTTAGCAATGCAACCAGTTGCCTAAACAGGAAATAAAGTCCACCTGGGTGAATTTTACTCTCAATACAATTCCATCTTTTGTGTCAACTCTGTTTCATTTTGAGCCACATCACGATCATGAATGTCTTTAAAGGGCTGGTTGCATCAGAATGTACTGATGAAACCCATTAAACTGTTAAAAATGTGACTAACAGTTTTGCATTTAATGAGTACTAACTAACGTTCAATAATATTGAATGTTTCTTCACATTGATGTAATCAGGCAGAGTACAGACAAAATTAGATGTGAGCTGATTATACTTGGACACATAATTTATGTTGGAGTTGAGAATGCCACAGAAAAACATTATGGCACGTTTTACACATGCGCTGCAGAAGTTCATCCCCACAGTGAAATATGGCGGTGGCAGCATCATGCGACAAAGACGCTTATCTTTCTTTTCAGCAGAAACAGTGAAGCTGGGGAAATGGATGGAGATGCATAGAGGTGCATTTAGGGCTTAAAAATAAAATCTCTGCTTTTTCAAGCCAAGTCCAATTTCCAAATCAACTTTTTGCCATTAAAAAAAAGAAAAAACAATTACAAATGAAAGAAAATATTTTCAAAAACTTTTCTTTTATTTGAAACCTCTTTAATTATAGTTGACCCTCATCCAAAGTCTAGATAATTATAATCTGTAAAGCAATATGTCAAACAATACAGTGTTGTTTTGTCATTTCTGGAAGGTCGGTTTTAATGATCAGTTTAAAGAAATGCAATGAAGAGAAAATACAGATAAAAACCGTTTCTTTTTTGTAACCTTTTAAACTTGGTTGCATTTTTGGGAAATTATCCATGCAGAACAGAGAGCAGAGTGTGATGTGTAAGTGAACATTGAGTCATTTCTGACTTCCTGTCTAAGTGTCGTAGTTGTCAGTAAAGTTGTAGTAACGGTCGGGTCACAAATGATCAGAATGATATTTATTTTCTAGCTTTTGAGCAGCCAGTGTATGGGGGAAAAAACTCGCGTTGTTTTATTTTCATCAGAATGAGTTCTCCCATGTGTTTCTCCTGTGCAGAACAACAAGCCGCTCTACTCATTTGAAGACAACTCCGACTACGTGTATGACGTCATGTGGTCTCCCACTCACCCGGCTCTGTTTGCATGCGTGGACGGCATCGGCCACCTGGACCTGTGGAATCTGAACAACGACACCGAGGTCCGGTTCCTCCTCCGATACTTTCCTCTGCTGGCTCCCACATGCAGCAGCAGCAGCAGAGTTGTCCGCAGAGCAGCGTTCCTCCTCTGATTGATGTTCTGCGCTGCTGCTATTGTTGTTTCAGGTTCCCACTGCTAGCGTTGTGGTGGAGGGGAGCCCGGCCCTCAACAGGGTCAGATGGGCTCATACCGGGAGAGAGATCGCAGTGGGAGACTCCGATGGACGCGTTCTTGTTTATGAGGTTGGAGAGGTGAGCAAACATGACTGTTGATCCTGTTTTTCTACGCTGCATGAAATTTGCTTTTAATATTTTCCAGGTCATGATTGGTACAAAAACTTGAAAGGGGAATGAAAGTGATTCCATATCCTGTTTGTCCATCCATATATCTTCCTGTTTTTTTTTTTTTTGCAGTTTCTACATTTAAAACCAATCTGAATATGTCCTGAGTTCAGAGCAAAGTTTACTTTTAAAAAGAAACCAGAAATAATGACAACTCTGGACATTTCACTCTGGAGACGTTTGAGATTTGACATGCAAACCGTGTAGCAACCCTGAGCTTCGTTGCACAAATGAGTGATTAATTATTTAAAATATTCACTTCAGCCTAATGAGATGTATTTAAAGGATCGTTTAATGAACCGCTCTGAGCAGTTCGGGTCTGTGTTATTTAGCCATTATCTGCGCAGCCTGGAGTAACTCTTCTGTGCCCCTCCTTTCAGCAAATTGCAGTTCCGCGAAACGACGAGTGGACACGCTTCGTCTGCACGCTGGCAGAGATCAACGAGAACAGAGACGACGCCGAGGAGCTGGCCGCTCAGCGTCTGGCTGCGTGAACTCGTCTCTGCGGCGTTTAAGGGACCAGCTGGGTGCTTTTTACTGTCGGCCATGTTTTCTGACCACATGACTGAAGGATGAAAGTGTAAACATTTTCCGATTTCCATCACCAGTCTTCCTGAAATAGAGATCCGAGCTGCAGGGTTATCGAACAGCGACACTGACATGAAGCCATTTATTTAAAAAAGAAAAAGAAAAGAAATGGTCGTCTTCTCTTCAACCAGATGCCTTAATGTTTATCTGTAAAATCTTTACCTGTCAGTATGTCGGTCCATGTTGACAAGAGCCTTAACTTTTGTGTTTTTCAAGCCAAATAGATGCACAAGCTCAGAAATGTCAGTCATGCTGTAGTTGTTCTGTTTCTATTAAAGTTATGATGAACTAACCAGGTCTAATCCAGTGGTGTGATCATCTCAGAGTCACCTTGGAGTCGATGGTCATATTAATTACAAGCCTTTAATGATAAACTGAACCACTCAGAATGATCACAAAACTTCAGTACATGCATACGGGTTTATAAACACGCTGAAAACCACCTTTTTTATAGGCATCTGCAAGCTTCTTTCCTACAAAAGGACCTTTTATCGCAAACTAATTTAAATTGGTTGATTTCTCAGCATGAACTTTTTGAATATGGGTTCTGTCGGGTCGTTTCTGCCAGTTTGATGTTGGCCCGGTTTTTCTGTTCCAAAGCCAGTTCTGGTGTTTTTTTTGTCCAAGTTTCAACTTTCTATTGATTTCAGGTTAATTAAAGAATCTGGACACATTTATTTCATCGAACAGGTCCATCGGCACCACTGTCGGCTTATGAGGCCCATATCATGATGTTGCGACCACCATGCGGGGGTCACTACACTGTGCAGTTTAAAAGCCTCGCCTCGACTCCCCCAAACAGATTTCTTGTCATTGGTTCTATGTATTGGTATGTTGAAAATTCCTAGCTTTTTTTTTTTTTAAACATGCTGACCAATTTTCGTCTTTTATGAGTTTTGACAACTCCGACGACGGTGGTTTCACTTCTATCCGTGTTTTACAGCATGCAGAATTTCGGTTCATGTAGATAAAAAAATGTGCATTAAATTCAAATTATTTTCAAAATAAGTTGAGGTCGTATGTTGAAACAATATTCCAGATTGATTATAGATCGGTTCAAATAGTTCAAATCATTAGATATTAAAACGTTTCGCAAAGATGTGTGTGTGTGTGTTTGCCTGTGGCTGCAGCTCAGGTCGTCATCTCTGCTCATTTAGACATGATAAATTTCTACTCTGATGCTGTTTTGTACTAATCCTCCTGGCTGGAGTCATGAATGCTGTATCTGCTCAGCCGAGTTTACAGCTGACATGTGAAGTGACTGGATCCATCTAGATTCTTCATTTTCAGACAAAACTTTGGAGGTGGGGGAAATAGAGAATGTACGTTTCACAGTAGAAACACTTTGAATGATTTATTTCAATAAAATACAATAAATACACTTAAATTATTTCCCGCGTCCCTGGTCATAATTTCAAAATAAATATTTTGAAAATATCTGTACATCTTTGTTGAATATAGCCCATGCACACCAAAGCTGTCGCACACCAAGAAATAAAAGGAGCAGTAATTCTTTGCTGAGCCATAATGTCCCTCTGTTGAGAAGTACAGTATGTACAGTAAAGTTGTGCAAGCGATGCAAAGAAAATAAAAGCCACACCCATGCAGCGTTTGAACAAAGAGGGCCTCTCGGATGAACTTGAAATCGGAGGAGCGTGCGGGCCTCCACGCTGCGGCTTCGTTTAGGAGGACCGAGATTCAGGTTTGGACTCTCCGGAGGACTTGAATTTTGGCAGGTGCAAACCAAACTTTCTCTCCACGCCGGCAAAGGTTGCAGCAGCCAGACGGTAACCGCCCACATGGTCGGCGGTCACAGAGGGGAAATCCTTCACCGCGGGTTTGGGAATAGGTTCGGAACCAGTGGGACGACTGGAGAAAGAGAGACAGGTAGTGAATGAACGGCTCTATCATTGATGCTTGGTTCAGAGCCAGCGAAACGGATCTCTCCCAAGAGAGATTATTCTCTCTCATGCACACGGAAAAGTTGATATCATAACGATAACATTCATTAAAACGCTGCATGTCCAAACCAGACTCTTAACAAATGTGTTTCAAACTGTTGTAATCGGGGAAGAAGTTCAGTTCATCACAGTCTGCTGGTTCCAGATGCATATTCTCTATTCCTGTCAAGCTTCTCATGTTACAACCACAGTAGCCTTCATGAGTGAACAGCAGACAGTGTTGTATAACTGATTGAAACTGAAAAGTGTGGCCCACATTTGTATTTAGCACCGTTGACTTGATAAGAAGCATTTCCACAGCATGTTACTTCCACCACCGATTTGAACAGGGTGGTTGATGCGTTCAGGGTGTTCAGTGTTGGACGCATTTTGAATGAAGGCTAAAACGTTGCAGTGTGTCACATGAATATGACTCGTAGCAAACAGTAAATCGGCCCTCTGGCGGCTTTTTTTCTTGCCAGATTTCTTGAGTCCTCCACTTGTCATGTTGACAGAGCCTCCCACCTGGCCTGTAGATGTCTGCAGCTCCTCCAGAGTTATCCTGAATTCCGCCGTTTCCGTTTTCAGATGAAATGTATGTTTCAGAAATTCTTCAATCTCCCATGGCAACCGTTTGGAGGTGCCTGAATGCCTGCTCTCACCAAGCATCACCTTTTCCATAAAGTTTCTCTTCAGAGCTGCAGTATTCAAGCATAGCTTCCACATCACAGAGCACCTCTCTTCAACACTCTCCTGCTCAGCTCCTTCAGACTAGCCAGAAACAATTAGCAGACATCTGGCGGAATTGTACCTCTGCTAATCGTTCCCTCTACGTCTCAGTGAAACGTTGGTAAAAAACAAAAAAACTAAAGCTGTTAAACACTTGATAGAGGAATGTTGCTGTGATGACTTCCTGAAGGCACAGAGTCTGAAACAGCAAGAGCTTCTTAAAGAGACAGATGATCAATTTCAAGGCAAATACGTACGGCATTTTTACAACAACTGAAGGTGTCAGATACCTGATTGGACCACAAAATGATAGGTGCCTGGAAAATACATAATACGCCCCTTTAAACTTCACATGTTCCTCCCTGACTGGTCTGGCTTGTTCACTAATGCTCTCTAACAAATATCTGAGGCCTCCGGAAAAAAGCTGGATGAAACACTCACCTCCACCACAATTAGGTAAATTCTGAAGACATTGTTGAGATGCATGAAACTGAGCAGGTGTTTGTTCTCATTTTCTACACCCAAAGTACTTACTGTCCCCCAAAGTCAACGTAGAAGAATCTCTGCAGCAGCTCGTAGGTCACCAGGGTCACACCAAACTGCGGCGACGATCTGAAGACACGAGCTGATGGAAGGCAGACGTGCACCTGAGGTCAGTTTCTCTCGTCTGCAGTCCATAAAGAACGATGGATGCAGGCGTGCCTTACCTCCTGCACCCTTCCAAAATGCGCTGAACCCCTCCTCTCTGAGAATCTTCCTGAAGCAGTCGATGACTCCGTCGTACGTCGTCTGGCCCGCTCGAGCTGCCACCTGCAGCCTGGTTTTGATGACATCGGCAGGGGTCACCAGCGACGCCGCCGGTACGCCTGGTTTGCCACACAAAGACATAATGAAGCAGTTTGGGTATGCACAGGTGGAGTCACACAGAGACCAAAATGGCTATACCTTCATGGTGTGATGGGAAGAAAACTATCACAACATAGTCGGTCTATTGATGGGGGAAACAACAGGAAGGAAACCAACATGCTTTCTTTCTGTTTTTTTTTAATTTATTTTTTATTCCGAGCAGATAATGTGAAGCGTTCATTTATGAAACAACATGGCGCCGTCTTCCCAGATGTTTGTTACCTGCTATAGCCCCAGCAGTAAGCAGCTGCAGCGGGCCCAGCCTTCCGTCTTCGTCCGCCAACATTTCCTTGGTGTGCGCATAAACTGGGAAGTAGATGGCGGAGAAGGGGATGTCACGAAGGAAGCAGGCTTTGGCTCCCTATCAAGAATAATAATAATAATTTTAAAAAAAGGACATTTTATAAACAAATACATCAGCTCAGATGAAGGTGAAGCTGTTCCTTCTGCAGGGATTAAAAGGCTGGGGGAGCTGATTTATTTAACCCGCAGAGGAGCTTTAGTATTGATGATGGAGCTGAAGGGCTCCAGGGAGAACTGAAGCACCGGACCTCCGGAGAAAGATCCATCACAAACCACAGTGTGCTCTCTTACCAAGAGAAAGCCAACTCAAAAAAAAAGTCACAAGCAGTAAGTAAAGCCACACTGATCTGGAGGGGAGCAGGAGTGAAGCGCAATCCCTCACCAATTTGCTGTTGCTTGTTGGCTGCAGCAGCCGTTTGCGTGTTTAAAGCTATTTTGGAAGATTGAAAACATTCAGCAACACAATGTCTGATGTTCAGGTTTCTGTTTCTCATCGGAATTTTGTCAACATAGACGTAGAGCTGCTTCTTCAAATACTGAAGTGTTTCATCCGCAAAAACTTAAAGATGAAAATAATTTGACTGTTTTAAGATGTTTTTGTTTCTTTCATTTGATGAACATTGAGTCATGCGTTTTTAATCATATTCTTAATGTATCTTCAAATGAGGTCTAAATTTATTTTAATAAATCAAGCAGCCAACTTTTCTAGCTCTTATCCAATAGATGTTCTTTTTCTATAGTGGATGAACTGACTGAGGCAATCACATCATTGTCATAATGGCTTCTGTCATATGGCCCAAAAACTGAGTGAAACATTTAGAAATTTAAGCAAGAACATGTGTTGAAACCCTATTTTAGGCAGTAAATAGAAAGCGCATATAGTTGGTCAGGTGTTCCTCTGCCCCGGCTGCGCTCTGGATCCGGTGGAGCCGACTCACCTTGTAGAGGCCGAGGAAACCGAGGTCCCTGACGACGTTCAGAGCGCTGACCCTGGGGCCCGTGGTGATCTCTCCAGCCACCTGCAGACGGATCTTCACAATCTCCAGTGGGTTGGTGAAAATCACCTGTGATGCTCCAGCCTACAGAGTGCAGCACACACACAAATATGAAAAGCGAATGGTAAGCTGTTTACATACAGATATTTCCTGAGAGGGTTTTGTCCCTCTGACCCCTGTGGGGTGAACTCTGGGTGAGAACGGAGATGGTGTGTAAGCATTTTCCTCCCTTATGGGAATTTTTAAATCATCTCAGTAAACTTAAGCACAAAAGTTGCTTTATTTTCACCCCGTTTTCTGAACGGCCTTGACAGGAGGAGGAAAAAGCCGGCATTGATGGAGGAACAACTGGGGTCAGAGTGGAGCAGGAGAAGCCACTGGCTCATGGTTGGGAGGCTGTGACCCTGGCAGCGGCCCTCTGCCCCCGCCGCCTCCCCTCCAGGCGCCTCCTGTGGCAGGGTGAGCGGCCCGGCCCGGCCTCGCCCCGCACACTTCCCCAATTCAACCCCTATTCCCAGGGGAGAGCGCTGAATCACCAGGACAGTCCAGGAAAGCGGTGCCCTGGAGGCATGGCACCCTCTGACTCTGGCACATTTATCACCCTCCCCAAATCTAATCAGGCCCCAGGATGGCTGCCGCTGACATTCAGGGCAGGGGTCTTATCTGTAAACATCCGAGCTAAAAAAAGCTCATTTTCAAAGCGGGGGGGGGGGAATATCCGCTGCTCTGAAGATTGATGCACTCATCTCCTGTCTTTCATCTTCTGCAGTGATAATTCAGCGAGTTATCAGATTAAACTGGATTTAAACTTTCATGAGTGTGCATGTGTGCCCGTGTGTTTGCGTGTGTATGTGGGAAAATGAACAAGAACCCCTCAGAGCCGATTAAAGAAACTCAAACTTCTGGTTCGCAACAACTGAGAGATGGGACACCCTGGATGTCCTCTGTGAAGACCTGCGCCGGGACCTGCGCCGCTGGTTTGGACCCCATTGTCAAAATCAATCACGCTGAGCTAGACCCTGCTTCATCCAGAACCCTCCAGGGCCTCTTCCTCCAATTACACTCTGACAGGGGTCGCAACCTCAAAGACCCCGCTCCTCCGAGTCCAACCTGCAGGCCCTCATTCTTTCAGCCTCTCTCATATCCACTCTGAGTGAAGGAATTACATCTTTAATCCAACGCTGCTCTCAGAACACGTTGCACAGAGCGTGTTTGTGTAGGATTTGTGGTCTAAGATTCAAAGGAATCAGAGGACAACACAGGCTAATAATTGTAAATGGATGAAAACAAATCTCTAAATAAATGACAGTTTATTTAGTCTAAGTCTATTTTCTCACAGTTTAACATCAGAAATGAACAAAGCTCCCGATGATGAGGAAATATTTGCTTCACAACATGGAAAGTATTCCCGGTTTTCTGTTTTTTTTAATCGCTCGTACCCAGCCTGATTTTTGTTAAAATGGATTTGCTTCTTTCCACTGTTGCCACAGGCTTGTTCAGGATGATGGATTGCTGCAAAGTCAATGAAATTTGCTTTGCTTCCTTAGTTAGATCTCTTTTTACTAGCTGACTGCATTATGATCGGGACTGAATTGAGGGTTCCTGTAATTTAAGTGTGTTAAGATGTGGACTCCAATGGAAACAGGGTCAGTTCAACTTTTAGTTTGTTTTTTAGTTGAACTGTGCAGGATAAATGTCCCATGAAAGGTGAAGCTTCGAAGTGGTTCATGATGATTCATTGATTACATTACAAAAGCCCATCATTTTAACAGGGACGTGCAGATCTTTAGGAGCAACTGTAAAAGGAATTGATGTTACATAAATGAAATAAACTCCGCTCTTAGTTTTTGGTTCATTTAAGGACATAATTTAACACTTACAGATCCACCAGCAAGAATCTCTGCCAGAAGAGGGATGGTATTATCTTGTGTGGTGAACTTGTCTCTGACAAAATCATTCACCTGGAAAAACAAAACAAAAAGGAAAAATATTCAGGAAAAAAAATGGACCAAATGAGAGTCGATCTTTAAAGCAAGACAGTAAATTTTACATGAGCTGCAGCCACATCTTAGATTGCTCAGATTTTTTCATTCAGAGACTCGTTCATATCAACTTTTCTTTTCTCCACCTCCGTGGTGGAATGACTTACCGTGAGTTTGATGGCTTTCTCTGGGGCGACGCCGATGAGCTGCGGGAGGAGCCCTGCAAAATATTATTCATAGATAGCATCTGAGACTCAAAGTTTCCCTTGAGATGAGTGCTCATTTTTATCTTGGCTGTATGAATACATCTGCTGACAACCAGAACAATGCGACCAGCAGGGGTCTGGGGAGCCTAAAACAAACCTGTAAATATTTACAGATAGTCGCTGATACATGTGATGCATTGAGACACAAAAAGTCCCATTGAAACCGGACAAAAGTCCAGAAATGACTGCTCCTGAATATGGGATCCGTTGATCCAGCAATTGGTGGGGAACAGAGAGAGCTGTGTGGCCATGGACAAGATTAAGAGGGGGGGGGGCCAGGGGGTCCGGGTGCTACAGCGGCGATAGCCGCCATACTGTTTCAGCGCCCGTCCTTCATCAAACCAGATAAACTTCTGAAGGAGCTGCTGAGTGACCGCTGCTGGTATGTGGCCAGAAAACAGCCGAGCGTGTCTGTCTCCGAGTCGATCGGCCTCTTATTGTGAACAAGAGGGAGAAATAAGACGCTGCAGCGATGGAGGCAGCTGTAGATGGCAGTCTTGACTTCCCTCGCGAGCAGCAGGGCCCCGGGGGTGAAGGGCTTGTATATCAGAAGCCTTCAGCACTATTATCAGCACTCCGACAGAGGCAGATCAGACGGTACATGAATACCGCTGGTCATTTTCGCTCAGGGAACTCTCCCAGGTACAGAGATAATGAAAACCCCTGGCTGCTGCTGAACACAGAGGGCAAAGGATTCTGGGATCAATTAGAAAACTGTGCTTCTGACATTAACTCCCTGATGCTTTCCCATCATGTGGGCCATGTTGCAAATCAACATGCACATTGTTTAAAAATTTAAAAAAAAATGTAATGACCTCTGTAAAATCCAAAGAAGCCCTCATAACGCAGCACTTTCTTCGCACAGTCGAAGCTGTTCTTGTACATCAATTCTCCTACGAAGGAACCCGTGGAGCGCTGGTTCTGCATCCGAGTCTTCACCAGGTCGATGGGGTACACGGCGGTGGCACCGGTGGCTGCAGAGCAAACAAACGGTCGGTGCTGATACCAAAAACAGTAGAGAATTGCAAAGGTTAAAAGAGAACTGCAGTATTTAAGACACTCCCGTTTTATTTTTGAACTGCATTCTTTGGCTAATTTAATGAAAAAAAAAAAACTGCACTTTTAAAGGAGTTAAACTTGTCAAGGCGAGTTAAAAATCAAACAAAATCTGCCCAATGCATTTTTGTTATCTATTTATTAAGTTGTTGTCTTCTCAACAGCTTGAATAATATGAGCAGCTCAAATGCATCTGTAAGCACCCAAAACGACTGGTTTCTGTAACTTAGAGTGATGCTGAGGTAAGCTGCACTAAATCCCTGCTCTCAGCTGCACATGCTGCATCTTGTCTGACATTGGTTGTTGGTGTACTGATTGTTCTTAATCATTCAAAGAACCTAAACGGTGAGAAGAAACTCATTGCAACAAAGAAATTGCAGTTTCACCGTTGCATCTCGTGACAGACATCTCTCTCGGGCCCCGTCTCAATCGGCCACTGCTGAGCGACTACGACGTAGACTCACACGCTCACAGAGTCGGAGGGAGCTGGCCGGTTATGTCAGTGGTTCCTTGTTTCTGCTCCCTCCAGTGTAATTAGAGAGGGAGATTCCAGGGACTGCGGTTCCGGAAGATTTGTGTCATTCCAAAGCTCCGTCTCCAAAGACAGCCTGGAGCCACCGGTGGCACGGCAGCACAATGCTGGAGCCTCACATCACAGCCCCTCTCCCCTGAAACACAATGGCCGGCCCCGGGGCCTCAGTTGCACCAGTCGGGGCGGCTAAGGTTACCCCTCGGGCGGGCCGGGGGCCTCTGCTGTAGACATGTCACTCACCTCCGGCGATTGAGCCCAGGCTGAACCTGTAGGCGGACTCTGCAGCCTGGAGCCAGACGGGCCGAGACGTTTCGTGAGCGTGCTGTATGGGAGGAAAGAGACACCAGCAGTCAAATGGATCTGGAGAAAGATGGAGGCTGGATCACAGCGCTAATCATGAATCGGCGGGCTATCAAGCCACAGTGAAACGGATACATTGTGGAAAGAAAAATGTTATGGGGATGGAATGTGGACATTTCATGTACAGTCTGATTCACCGGCAGTCGGTATTAAATGTCAGAGATAGATTAGCTCTGGGTGACTGTGTGGACCTGTAGCAGAGTTTTCCACAGATGTTTCATTTTGGAGGTTGTGATCCAAACATTTGGTTTTTATTTTAAAAGTATGATTTCTCTCCTGTCTCCATCATCTATGCACTGGTGTTTGATGTTCTTTGTTTCCCGCTGGAGTTCAGGGGAACAGATTAGCCCAACAACCCGTTTTCATATTCAGATAATAATGTACATAAATGCAGTTCCTTTCAAAAACTTTCATATTTCTTCAGCTTTTCCACATTTTGTCACTTTCACAAACTGCAATGTGTTTTGTTTTGAGTTTGGTGTGATAGAGCAACATAATGTGGGACAGAATAGCAAAGCTGAAACAGTGCTGGTTCTGCTGCAGTGGGTGAGCTGAAACGCACCCACCGACTCATCATTCTAACAAAAAACACCACCTATTTACTCTGTCTCCTACCCCACATTAAGAACTGAATTCATATTTGTCTCAATCTGAGCTGGCACTGATAGTGAAAAAACATTCTAACAAGCGCAGAAAAAAAAGCTTTCATGAATCTCAAATTGAGTTCTAAAAAGTATTGAACAGTGTACATATTTTAAGCATTGTAGTTGAGATGATAAATGATATAAAAAAGTGAAATAGCCATTTGATTCTGTAAGGGCTTGTAAGATTCATATCATCCACCAACTTTAGCCGGCTTTATAACAGCTTGGACTTTGCAAAACACAAGGGGGTGACAATACTTAGTGACTGGGCATGCTGCTATGAAGAACTCATGGAAAATTAGTTTGGGGTTTAGTTGAAAGATACGCTAAACCTTTTTTACTAAAAATAAGAAGGTATGCTGTGCCTTCTTCTTATTTGGGGGTATTGTAATACCCCCAAATAAAACCCAGTGAAATAAGTCTTTTTCAGGAGTTACTAAATTACTACATAAAGATCTCTGGCATGTAATTTAATCTGAGTATAAATCCAGCTATTCTGTCAATGCTTCATAGGTTTGGCAGGGATCATTTGAAGAAGCTGAAGCCGGATGAAGATATAAATGGATATAAAGTTCTACATAGATCTACACAATGCATCATCCAAAAATGCAAAGAGTGTGGTAATAAAAGCCTCTGCACAGGCTTTTATTACATTCAGCATTCATTCTTTATGTACAAAACTTGAAAAAACTGCATTTTCTTACAAGACTCCTTCTACTTGGAACAAACTGCAACAAGCTGTGCAGCTTCACTGAACTGAAGGGTTTTAAACATATTTTAAGGTCAATGCATGAATGGTTGTCCCCGTGCTTCTCGCTTTAATTCTACAGTCTTTCATTTTCTTTGTCATTCTGTTTCAGTTAACCGATTTTATGAACTGAAATAACTAGTATGTTTTAGTTTGTATACGTGTACATTTAAAACAGGTGGCTCTTGTAAATAAGACCCTGTGTCTCAATAAGATTTACCAAGATATAAATAAAGACGAAATAAAAAAATAATCAGAGCCAAGATAGGAACATAGTAACTCTGGAGCAGCTGCAGAGATCCACAGCTCAGGAGGGACTGGACAGCTGTTCATCATTTGCTCTACAAATTTGGCGTTTTGCAAAGAGTAGAAAGAAGAAAGTCATAAAAAGTGAGATTGTAGGATTTTCTTATGTAGGGGCGAGAGTAAAAATATGAATGAAAATGAACTTTTTGGCCTACATGCAATACACCCTGAATATTATATATCCTGAATATCACCCTGAAGATGCCTTCCCCACTGTGGAATACGGTGGTAGTAGCCACTGTGGGTATGCTTCTCTTCACAATGAAGGCTGGCCAAAGTTGACAGGAGGATACACAAGTCACATTTATGTTTAGCAAAATGCCCTAGAGTTTATGGTTGTAACTTGAAATCACGTGAAACAGCTTCAAAAGGTAAACATGTTTTTCAAACTCCCAGTGTGTGCAGTTTGGGGGAGTGTGAGTAACTTCTCCCAGACTAGACATTAAGGGGGAAAAGCAGATCACTCTTTTCCTCTTCCCAGATGCTTCCACTGAAGGCTGCATGCTAATAAGATCGAGGTCTTGATCAAAGGCTTTAAACAATTAGTCTACTTCCACTGAAGAGCAGGCTTGAGAATCACAGCTACCCCGCGCCCGCCTCCCCAGAAGGAGTCAAATTCCAGACCTCTGAGCACGAGTCTCGGGAGCACGAGTGGTCTGAAAGCTCTGACACAGAGCCGTGTTATCCAGTGGAGGCAGGAACTATTTTGTTCTCCCACATCCACCTTGCCTCCCACTCCCCTCCTGCCATTAGCAGACTTCGCTAAAGGCTTCTAAAACTTCTCAAGCCCCACGGTGATAAAAGCCTCTTATTAGAGCCTCAGATGTGTGATTGCAGCTGATGCGTATGTGCAGCCGCACTGAATAAAATAGGAAGAGCCTTTCATGGAGAGCCGCAACGCAACAATCCATTCCTCTTCTGTGACTATAATTGGTGTACTTTTATCTGGGAGTTTAAGAAATGCACTTCACAAGGGAAGAAAAACACGGGCTCTCTGCTAATTCAGAGCCTGAACATGCTGCCTTTCTTTGCTCCCTTTTCTGAGAAGGAAGCGGAGATAGAGAAGAGGAAAAGGCTTTGATGAAAGCCAGTTGGAGGAGGATGCAAGGAGTATTAGAGAAGTCACTCAGGATACCTGTCTCTGAGTCTCAGCTAGGTGGTACGGCATGGCTCCTTCCTCCAGCGGGGCGACTCGCTCGATGTCTGCGTTGTTCAGCCGCCTTAATGAAGCGAAAGTGGGAGTTAGGCCAGGAAAAAAAAACAAAAAAAAAACTGCTTCTCCACTGAGCTGCAGCAGCCAGTGATGTAAGATTTTCCAGTCGTTTTTTATTACCAAATAACTTGGAAGTTATTGCATCTTTAATTCAAACCTCCATAGACAACACACAAACAAAGCTGGATAAACGCCCGAGGTGCGGCAGGTAAATGAAAGTGTTTTGCTGCAGAATATCTGAGACAGAAATGTTCCCCGCTGGCCTGACGCATCATAAAGTCTGCATCCATGTTTTATGTTTGTCTTGTAAAAATAAGCCAGTGGAGCCACTGTTACTAAGCTAAATAGGCATCAACTTCATTTTTACAGCCAATAAACAAGACCTGTAACATATTTATTCTATTTAGGGCAGAATAAAAAAAAAAAAAATTTAAAAAGTAAATTTGAAGTTGATCCAGAAAAAGAAAATCTGAAGTTTTAAGTGTCACCATATTTATACAAAGAAAACCCTAAACACAAATGCATGTAACAGTTTAATCGTTTTTATTTGAAACACAAAAAGCATCAATTATTCCTGCTCTTCCTTTTAACAACGTAACACAAAAAATGTGATAAAACACCTGCTTAATATAGTGTTAGTTTAAGGGATTATTATGTGGAAAATAACTTTATGCTCTTTTGCTCTTTATAGAAAAGGTCAAGTAAAAGCACTAGATGGCTAACTAGGCTGCAGAGGGATTCTTTGCAGTAGTTTGGCATGTGGAACGTCAACTTTAGTTTCAGAATAAAAGACTGCTTGGAAGTTAAACTTCTAAGCAGTTTAACTTTCCTTGTAATTATGCAATGGTCAATTCCTGGCATCTCATAGGACTTTACAGAAAGTTCACCACCATAATGCTCCAAAATGAACTGTGTGGTGTGCTGGGCCATTTCTCTTTCATATATGGTATGAAAATATGCCATAACATACCTTTTGTCTTCATTTGACTATATCCTCTATGGCTAGCCTAAAGGTTCAGTAAGAAACTTTAAATGTGTTCCATTTCTTCAGCAGTAGAGTCTTGCATAGTGAGCATACGTATAGGGCAATTGGATTTAGAGCAATATGCATCTTTTTACAGAAAAATGTATGAGTAATGTTTTTTTTTTAAATATCTCTGGTTATCTTTTTGTATGATATAAAACCTTTTACAGACCATCAATTACAAATAAAACATAAGATATTAATTCTGGTACAAAGTGAGCAGAATGACTTTCTAAATATGGACAGGTTTTCCTTGGTTGCTTGGCTTTCAAATATTCAAATTGCTAAATGATACACTGACAGCAGTCAGCTATTGGACTGTAACTGCACCTACCCTGGACTGTCTGATAGAAGCACAATCTACTCCTAGGGTTATTCTACTTTTGTAGACACAAATTAATTATTAGAAAACTTTGGTTTGCTTTGAATCCACACTGTTGCAGGCTGGTGATGCAGCATCTTACCCAGAGTGAGAGTGGAGGCCGACGAGCTGGAACAAGATGTCTATCTCCATAGGAGTGATTTGACCAAACTTATTTGCAGCGTGAACAAACTCTTCTACGGTTTAAAGACAGAGAAGAAAAAAGGAAGTCAGACAAACGTGCCTCAAAAAGCCAAGCTAGAGGACAAGAGGTGAAAATAAAAAAAGGTATTTTCTACAGTAGGCTTTAATTACAATAGTATTTGCAAATACTGATCTTTGCGTGTTTAGGTTGTCTTAGTTCATATGTTTGCTGCTGAAAAGACATGTAATGGAAAGTATAAACCTTTAAAGTACTTTTTATGTGCTTAAGTTCCTTCTCTGAAAGTACTCGCCGCATGAACATCCACTCTCTAAGCATCGCTCTATTATTTGAGCTTCAAATTTAGTTCTTTGCTGCTGCCTGCTAGGTAACAAAGTGGCCATCGGGTGGTCTTTCTAAAAGGAAACCTAATGGTAGTTGTTGAGGAAAGGAAATGAGTTAGTTATTCATTTGTCCTGAAAAAGACCTTTCTGCCAGATCTACAGATGTAACCTGCAACTTGACGTTAGTGGACTGCGTGGACATCCGTTGCACGACAGAAAAAATGAAAAGTGAGATTTGTCTAAGCCTGAATGATATGTTGCTGCTATTTGCAAATACTATTAGCCCCAAATCTTCTCTAAATGGAGGAAAAACCATGGAGAGAGAGAGAAGTCTGATGTTTGGATCTCAATGGACAACACAGTTGGGAGCAGATGTGACTGACAGGATCAGCTACTCATGTAGAGGAGGGGTCATCGGATTACCACATTAAAAACGTTCATTTACCTGTGTAATTTAGTGCTACAGTTAATGTTCCCTGTGTGTTCACTCACACCACTCTGTCGAGAAAGTTAAACATAGGATCGAACAGCCAGATGTCATAGCACACGTCAAATTCAGGAGATTGCTGAATTTCAGGAGGTGATTAGAAGTACCTTTCGTGACGAGAGTTTCTTTGTGCGAGCCGGCGAGGGTGCTGTAAATCTTGCGGACCAGCTCCATGCTGTTGAGGAGGGCGTTGAAGGCAGTGAAGTAGGAGAAGCTCACCATGTGGGAGGTGCTTCCTGCAGCCTGAACAGTCATCTCAAGTCAGAATAGCAAGATTTTTATTTTATCTGGTGTCGCTCATGTGTAGTAGGACTCACTGAAACCAAGTTTTCTTCTACAAAAGGAGTCAGCATGTGGTGCCTGATGGTGGACATGATGTCACTGAAGTCCAAGGCAGTGATGGTGCCACTTTTCTTCTTGTCTTTCTGTGCGAATGCCTGGCGAGCGTGCTCCAGCTGCAACTCCTGCAAAAATGAGCAAATGCAAATGCCAAAGGATTAATTGAATCATTGCTAATATCTGGTGCAATCAACTCCAAAGCAAGTAGTTTTCTCGGGTCAAATATCAAGAACTATAAAATCTGTTTTGATAAATTTTAAAGCATAAAATGTTTGCTACGAATTGACGGCAGATTCTTGCTTAGTGAGCATGCATGGATTGATACTTTATTTTCTTTCTTTCATGTAGAAGCTGTCAGATGCTAAAGTGTCACACGGGCTATTGTCTCTCTCCAGAGACTCATGAAATCCAGGTCCTGAGAAGCCTGGTCTGAGAGCCGAACGGCTGCACAGTGGCTGGCAGGTGTATTTGAAGAGACATGATTTAATATGACAACCATGCAATCAGGAGAGGATACTGGGGAACCTGAACCCTGCTGTCGGAGCTCATCACCTAGAACCAGAGGTGCGTGGAGCACCGTCATTGAAACACTGGCCTAATTGTTGGATTGGCCAATGCTTTTCTTCTGTCTTTTGTTGAAAGCACATGATGCATTTTCATCAGCTGACAAAGCTAATACTCACCAGTACAGCAGTTTCAGTCAAATACACATTGTGGCAGCGGTGCAACTCTGAATAACAGCTAAATAGACATACTTGTAATTTTTATTGTATTGCTAACCGACTATTCCTGGCCACGACAGCAGACAACAATAATGACATCAGTGTATGAAATCCTGTACACAAGAGGATCATTTGTGCAGTTGTGGGAAACTAGAGTCAGTTATAATAAACCATAGAGAGCTGTGAGGGATCCCGCAGTGAAGTCGAGAAGAAGCCCACCCAGCTTCGTCCTGAGACCACAGCCCTCAAGCCCGGACCAGGTTCCTCCGCAAATACACCGATGCTGTTTGCCCACCACAAAACCATCACTCAGATCCAGGTCAAGTCCCACAAAAGAACAAGCTTCGAATTCTTTATAGGCATATTACTCAATGCTTGTAAACCTAAGGAGATGAGGTCATGTGCAAGGCTGTAGTCATCTATGTTGCTTTTATTCTAAAGCATTATTTTCTGTCTCCATTTTCATCACATTACTACTTTTTCACAGTGTCAAACAGTGACCTCTATATCTTGTGCAAGTGGGAGTTAAATCAATATTTGACATGTTCAAGATCTCATCACTGTGGCGTTTAGCAAACAGAAATCGTGTTTGTCATTCTAGTTAAATTAAAACAAGAGATTTCAAACAGTGAGAAAAAAAATGTGTATTGGTCTTTTTACTCAACATCTGGTTTCAACTGCATATTTTCCATATGCAGAGAGAAATACAAAATCAGAAAAAAATATCACATCGATATTGTCATTTGTCATTTTTACACTGTAATTCCTGATAATGTGATACCGAATTAACAAATTGTGTAGCTCCAACTCAAAGATATGTCTTAGCAAAACTTCTCAAAATATCAGATGTTAGAAATTATGAAGCCTTATATTTTGTGGCCATCTTGTGGGTCAGAAACCCAGACATTAGTCTCTGCAGTGACACTGCAAATAAATCCTGGGAGACCTGATGTATACATGGATGGTAAAACTCTTGATATGAAATGTTTACCTGCAGAAACTGAGTGAACTCTGCGTAGCTGAGATTCTTGTTTCTCTCGTGGCCGAAGTGCAGCCGGATGAACTCACAGTCCCAGTTGAAGGGGATGTGGTGATGGACCGTCGTCTGGCTGAAGATGTCTCTGACATTCTCTGGAAAAGTGCTAAGAAGTGGTTAAAAAACAACACAAGGACAAACATCCGGCATGCTGTTTCATTATCACACCATTCAATTGTCTTCATCTCATAAGTACTTTAAATAAATGCGAGACTTCCGGAGTAGGCCTTTGATTGTTGAAGTCGGTGTAGTGCTTGAAGTCGGTGTAGTGCTCTTACACCTCTGGCAGAGGAAGTAGTCACTGAGTCGAGTTAGTGAGTAGGTGTACAGAGCAGAGGCTTAAAGCAACCTTCTGACAACTCGGCTGATTCAAAAGACAGAGCACTTTTAGGCTGCTTAGGCCTTTCACAAGCCAGTCGAGTCAGCCAGGTCAACTTCAGCTGACTATGTAAACTATGGCCTTACAAAAGGTCAAACAGAAGAGGCAAGAAGGAGTCTTGTGACCTTTGATGACACACTTCTTGTGCCATATTGTGCAACCTTGACTGCTAGATAAGCATGACAGAGAAGATGAAAAGAAATGAGGCAAAAGGGAAAACCAGAAGGTAGGTTTTAAGGATAAAAAGAAGGATGCAAGGATGGAGGAAAGCACACCAAAGAAAATAAAGAAGGAAGGGAAGGAAGGAAGAAAACACAAGGTAGGGCAGACAAAAACATTTAAGAATGGGAAGCAAATTTTTATGTTTTTTTTTTTCTTATGAAAAACAGATATTTTGTGGTTGTGCAGAAACGCTCGATACTCCCACCTGTCCTGCTCTGAAGCTCTACAAAACGCTTATTTAACTCTTGCAGAACACACAAAATTAGAGCAGAAAAGCATCTTGTTGTTTCACAGCATGTTTTATACCATGTACGTACCAAAAGAGATGTTTCCTGTGCCACTCTTGTCAAACAGCTGAAAGGCCACTATGAAGAGGGCATCAGGGGCGCACAGAACCGATTCAAAGGCCAGAAACTCCTGGAAAGAGATCAGTCTGTTTGGATGAGAAAGAATAGATGTAATGTCAATGAAAAGAGCAGATTATTTCAGTAAAATAAAAAAAATTACAGCCATGTCAGCTTGAATAATCAACTAAATAAACCCAAATAAGATCAAACAAACTATAATATTGGCATTAATGGCATGAAACCATTAGATAAACTTAGCATTAAGGTAGTTCTAACACCAGTATTTTGGATTTTGTCTGCATCATTTCTTCCAATTTGATGCAGTAAAGCTATTTTTATATTAACTCAGCAATAGGACATATTCAGCATCACTCTGTTGTCACACAACACATATTGTATCTTGTCTATATAAAAACAAAAACCTTAAGGGATTAAAACAGAATAATAAAAGTCAAATATTTAGAGAACTGATCAGCCACTGTCTTTTTACAAGTGAAATATCTTCTGCTGTTGCATTGCTTCTGTAAATATGTGAAAATGTCATTATTAAAATCTAAAACAAAGGAAGACATAAACCAAGTGAAAAGAAAATGATTTAAAACTATCATTTAAATCTGAAATATAAAACCAATTTAATTTAAATATTTAGATCTCCCTAAGGCGAGAGATAATGCAACAGCTGTTTAAATGCGACTTTGAGAAAACACTGAAGACAAAACATACAGAGAATGTGCGTTTATAATAATCAGTTTCTTATACAGCGCTGAAGCAAGAGGCAGCTTCTGCTCAAACTATTGGGTCGATGCAAGTCTCTGAATGCAGAATTAAAAAACAAAAATGAGCTTTGCCTAAGCTAAAGAAAAAAATAATTGAAAAGAAAGATATGTGGAACAGATCAAGACAGCCGAGATTAAAAAAAACCTTCTAAATAAAGCATAGTCAGACATGACACAATGGATGCTACAAAGAAATAAGAGATGGGAACTTGGGCTGTGGGATGGATGAAATGACAACTGAAAGCAGAGCAATAGAAAGACAATGGAACAATCAAGATATGGAGAACAGGCAATGCAGGAAACAGGTCGACAGAACAAACACTGACAAGTGGGTAAAATTTTCTTTTTGAATCAAAACAGGAATTTAACTAGCGATTGAAACCAGGAAACACTGATCTGTGCTTCGCAGCTTTAGTTTGAATTTTCACAGATCTCGGTAGATAGCAAGTTTGATAAAGAAAACAATAGTTTTGGAGCACAAAATGAAAGTGGAAACATTTCTCAAACTAGTGTGTGGATATAAAACAATACGGTTAACGTTAATAATAAGGAGCGTATTTTGAGACATTTGAGTCTAAGACAAGATCTCTACTCACCCATCCTTGGTGGTGTCGGCCACTCCGGCTATCAGCTCCACAGTTTTGGGGTTGTGTTGAGGCTGTGTGTGCAGACCCAAGTAATTCTGCACAAAGTCTCTGGGGGTCATGTAATGCTCCCCATCCTCCACCACGCTGGCATACTGCAGAGAACACATGTACAGAGCTGTAAACAGCGGTAAGAGTGGATTGACATGTCGTTTTAGACAGAGAAATTGTAAGGTAGAAACTCCATTGTGTGCACAGAAAGATGAGGAGCTCTTCCCTCTCTATAGGGATCTCTTTTCTGTGTCACAATATGGTTTTGTGTTTTACAAGAACAAAGGAATCTCAGTTCACTTCAGCTACAGCGCATTTAAAATCTATACAATGCTATGCTTTAGGCCATAATGACACGCACAACTGAACTGTTCATATTCTTTCACATCATCTTTCTCTCTTAAAGCTCCTTGCCAGGCTGCTCTGTAAAAAACAGCAAAGCCCATCTTTCATTTATAAAACATGCCATGGCCAGTTTGTCGTTGCATTCTATTTGTTTGTTCACAATGAAAAGCAAGACAAGCTTCAAATCCCACATGACTCAGGTGACATCACAAAAGGGAAAAAGCAACTAATCAGATTTAAATTGTATTTGCCTTGATTTATACATTTATTTGCATGTTTTCAGCCACATTTATTTTTTAAAGTAGTAATCTGTATTCTACAATCTTTAAGATCTATTCTACTCTTATACCTCTTGTGATGTCATCAACCCAAATGCACATGAAGCATTGAAGCTGGCATTTTTAGTACAATTTTTAAAACTTTATAGTATGTTAAATCCTGCTCTTAATAACCAAAGGCTATCTGGCAGATGTGGGTTTATTTTGTTACATGTTATTGAAAACAAATTATTTAAGTCATTTATATAGCAACATTTTTTTAAGCAAAACAATACAATTTAAAAAACATAACATTTTATCTAAACATATTATCATTAAAGCAAAAAATAATACAAAAAATAATTAAATTAAAACATAATTTAGGTCCTTCTAAAGCATTTATACTAACTGATGTATAATCTCTGCTTTTCTATAATGTTCTTTAGATGGATGCAACCCAAATAAAAGCATCAACCTTTAAGCTTTGGAAATATGCTACTCCACATGACTGAGGTAAAACCTGATCTCAGCGTCAGGGCTTCAAGATGTACAGTCATTTATAGAGACTGGGTAGGGTTTCATGTTTGGCACCAAGATAGCTCTGGAAGCAGAAGGGGAGCATGAACCGGCAGCAGAAAGGCCATGCTCATGGGCCCGAGCCAAACTCAAAGAGAGAGAGCAAGGGCATGGGAGGAGACCCCTCCAACTCCAAGTGTTTTCACAGCTACAATTCAATGTGCTCTGCTGAATTAATGTTTCAGATGGAAAATATTAATTTCAAGCAATCTGTAACCATGCTTCTCCGTCACAATTGTGTATCTATTCACCCTCACAGTAGGCCTCAAGTAGTTCTTAATCAAATTATACAGGCTGTCAGAGTGAATAATTAACCCTTCCACCTGAATATGCATTGAAATTAAACAGCGCTGTTACAGCTGAGTGAAGGGATGTTGAGGAGACCGGCATTTCAAACTGAGTCACTTCTTTCGGGAACAAGTTTACACTCCAAACAAGACACTCTCAGAGGGTAAGCAAAGCTAAAGACGTGACAAAGAACAGGGGAAGTTATCGGCTTAATTCAACCCTAGGAAAACCTCTGCACACCAACAACAATCTGATGTCAAAGAATTGCTTTGAAATGACTTGTTTTGTAAATCCCAAACTGCGTTTACAATAATCTTTGTGCCATGTAGAATAACCGAGCTAAAGTTTGACCAGTCAAACGTATTGCTTGACTGATGTATTGCGCATTGTTTACGCCAAACAATACGCATATCTATGGTAAACAGGTTGCAACAACGCTGTTTGTGACAACAGCAGCAGAATTACTGGCTTGATAAGCTCCTCCTTCTGTGCTACAACAAATCTAAGGTGGTATTAATGCCATTAAAACAAGACAGTGAAGAGGGTTTTTGTGTTTTCACAAATAGAGTAAATGCTTTATTTCAGAGAATATCAGTGCCTTTCAATTTTGACCATCTTAAGTGAAGCCCTAATTCTTTATATATACAACAGAAGTTATATAGACCTTTTCTGAATGAACTTCAGCCAGCAACCATTTCAAGTGTTTAAACTGTGAACAACCCTGAGGGACATTCATCCTCCTACCAGGGGGAAATGCAATCAAAAGGTGGAAAACTTAGTTGTGGCGCCCCTAAGGCTGTTTTACCCTGGGCAAAGAGCCACACCATTCATATCAAAAACTTCCACTACACAGGAATGTGAGTTTTAGTCGAGGCTTTGAAAAGAGAATGAAACAAATTCAGTAAGAAGCTTAAATTTCAAAATGTGCATAGTAATTCTAGATGATAGCTGACCCGACGCTAATCAAAACCTTTTATGTGACCTTTGATGGAGTTATACCAGACACTGCAAAAGCAGAACTGACAGATAAAGTAACAAACCATGCATACACAGTGTTTTTCTATTCATCTGTGCTTTTTTTTTTTAGAGGTTGAGACAGAAAAATTGAAACCTACCTTCAGAAAAATAGTCTTCAGCTCATTAGGGTCAGCTCGTCTTGTGGCTTGCACCTGTAACACACAAGTTTGAAGTTTTCATGACAAAAAAAAAAAAAGTTCTCAGAAGAACACACTGTTGTCTGAAAATTAAGATTCACACAGAAATCTCTGTCATCAACAAAACTGAACTTCAGTTTGTCACTTTTCAGTTTTGATTTTTTTTTTCTTTTAAGGCAGGCGGCTCAGCAGGATGGACCACAGGACTCGAGCAAAAAATAACCAGCTCCAGCGTCTGTTTAACAGCTTCGAAACGAATCTCTCAGATGCAACAAAAGCACAGAAATTACAGTTGTCTCTTTGAGGCCAGGGAGATGCGCCCGTGTGTCAGGATGAAGAGCAGTAATAAAACAAACAGGGAGGAGGGGACTCCGCTGCGGTGAAGCTCTAACCCCAACACGTCCGCGCGGATTAGACGTCCTCCGCACTCCAAAGCGCAAAGCCCGCGGCCGCCTTTACACAGTTTTTAAACACATTTCTGATAAAGAAATATTGACGGAGTCACCTTGACCGCCATGCTGGATGTGACGTCAGCTGCAGTGGACTGTACGAGCGCACGCGCTGGGGTTCGGGATGACAGCACGCGGGCATGTGAGCAGCAATGTGGATGTCTGGGACCCTTGGGCTAAAATTATCCAAGTATTGTCCCCCTCTCTCTCTGCGGCCGGACCGGCGGAGTGATGGGAGAAACCACTGCAGCTGAGGTGCTGCAGCAGGTTCCTGTCTGCTCTAAACCCCAGAGAGAATAAATGAAATACCATGAGGAGAATGAGAAGACACACCTGCTGCCTGTAGCCCATAAACACAGGATACAAGAAACAAACTAAACAGTCACATGGCTGAATTTAGTGAAGGTGACTGAAGCCCTGTGGAATTAAAACCAGTCAAGGACAAGCATATTCTTCCCTCTTACACTGTAAAAAGAATAATTAAAAAAATAACTTCTGAAGATGTTGAATGAAATTAAAAGATAACAGATTTTGCTACAGTAATATAAATTGAAGTATAAAAAAAAACAAACTAATATATTTATTCACACCAGCCATACTTCTATTTATTTTAATGTCAGTTCAGTAACACTCTTCACTATAGAGTCAGCCACAACATATGATTGTTAACTTTATTTTTAACTAGGCTGTTCTGAGACTGCTGTATCCGTGCACATTTGTGGAAAGCTTAGTGGAAGGAAAAATTGCAGAAAAATTTGCTCCAACTTTAAGCAGACTGTGCAGCAAAATAGATTGAAGAATTTGGTTGTGTCATGATCCTTAGGCCTTCGCTTCGTATTTTTATGATTTTGTTCTGCATCGTCTTTGATGTGTTGCTTAAATTTTGAAGTCTCCCTTTATTCCTGTTTTATTTTCGTTCCTGTCTTTCCTTGTGCACTGTGGTTTAGCTAGTTCTTGTTTTCCTGTCAGCCCTGCATTTCACTTTCATTGTCAATTTTTAGTTTTCTTTTTGTTCTTGTTGTATTGTCTAATTATTTGGTTATTCTTGCACCCAAGTTGACATTGTGGACGTTTTACAACATGGGACTAAAGAGAGAAAACCAAGGAGCCCAAAGAATGAACCTTACATTCCTATGCACACTGTCTGCCTGACATTGTCTTTTATTTTTTGTACAGTAATTTATAATTTGAGGACATTTGCTTGTCTTGATCTACTGTGTTTAATAAAGTCCAACATCAACACCATCTGCCAGGAACTACAGCATGCTGCTGAGCTTTTTGTTTTTAGCAGAAGTTGGCACCTCATCACACTGCCAAAAGTACCAATACCTTCTTTAATGGCCAGAGCAGTTTTGTCGCTAATCACCACCAATGCCCAAACCCTCTACCATTAACTTTCAACCATTCAGCCATACAATTTTCTTACACTCAGGTCCCCTTGGGTTTAGGAGCGGTGCTGTTTAGCTTTTCTTAGTTTTATTATTATTATTATTATTATTATTATTATTATTATTGTTATTATTACAATAATAAGCCATACTGCAATTAATTAAACTGGCATTTAAAGGGTAAAAATTGTAGTTTTTTCACACAACTGAACAAAGGAAAATGAGGAATGTTTTCTATTTTCATTATTGAAAATGATCTTTAACACGGTGTGAATATTTCCACAGTATTACTCTAGTAGTTCAGTAGTAATAGTTTTTGGGCATCTTATTGTGTAGTCTTGACAATATTGCTTTAAATTGTATTTGCCTAAATATTTCAGGCTGAACAGGCTTCGAATTACAGCCTTCAAAAATGTAATTGCTGAATAATATATAGTCAATACAGCTAACTATAGGTCTTATCACATCATATCATTGTGCTGAGTTATATAATTCTATCCATTGTCTCAATCTGGAGCTTTTTCTTTTGAATCATGCTTCTCATCAGTTATCCAGGTGCTTCTTGTTTTGAGTGATTCCATAATTGTTTCCGCTTCTTGATCAGAGAAGATGCCATTAATTAGAAGAAAACAATTTCATTGAAATTTTGAGGGTTTGTTTTGCGAAGCAGGATTCTTCAGCTGTGTAAGAAAATTGTTCAGATGTTTTTTCCCCTCACAAAATAATATTAAGCTTGAATGTTTCAACATGATGACTATTTTACATTTACTATGTGTGTAAAGTTAAAAAAAAAAAAAAAATTAATTTAGCTTTTAAGGAAAAGGCTAATAGTGGCTCTACATACATGCATGTATGCATGTATTATATATATATATATATATATATATATATATATATATATATATATATATATATATATATATATATATATATATATATATATATATATATATATATTTTTATTATTTTATTTATTTATTTATGTTTTTAATCAAAGCCGAGTTAATTCCAAAACTAATTTAACTATTATCTGGCTGTAAAGCAATATGATATTTTTGTACAATATATCAGTTTTTGATAAATAATTGAAATAAAAAGTAAAATAGCTGCCTACGTACATCCTGTTTCCACGGAAACATGTTCACCCGGAAGTACTCCATTTTCCGCGGGTCTTTTGGGACAATAACACAGTGTGCAGAAATGGCGGGTAAGGGGCTAAATGTTTACGTTTTATTGTCATTCAGCATTCATTTCCGTATATTTCGCTCCTCGATAGATGTCAGGACTCCTCTTCGCCTGCTCGAAGCGCATACCTGACCTGTAATGTCTTCAAAACACCGCAAAATACGAGCTAACGTCACATAGCAAATGAAGCAGAGGGGAGCGTGTAAGCTAACGTTGCTTTCAGCCTGTCATGGCATCACATTTTTCGGTTTTAGGAACACTTATATTCAAATCTATGCTGGGTGTAGCTGTGTTAATAAACATGGAGTTCTCGCTATGTTGGAATGATGCTATTTAGTCGGGTGACAGCTCTCCTGCTGTGTCTTCTCTAATGAAAAGTAGTGGTTTGTAATCTGATTTACAAACTATATTATGGATCTATGGGGTTTCAACCCAGCTTTTCTGTGATAACGTGTCTTTGTCGATCTTCTATAAGCATAGAATCTCAGCATTTTATTAACGATCAGATGGAAAGACGTTTAGCAAACGATGAGAATGTGATTTAAGGTAGTATTGATTTCAGAAAGCTACACAACACTACTAACATAGAGTAACAGTTTCCATTCCCAATGTCCGTTTGGGTGTAAAGAGTTATTGACAATATATTGCTGTAAAAAAGTATTTGTTTGTATACGGAACACTATTTGTTATTTTATTCACACTTTAAGGTTTCAAGTCATTGACAAAATTCTAACATCAAAAAATAATCAAATTGAATGCAATGAGGGGTTTTCAATGAGTTTCACATTGTAATTCTACAAATATATATATAGATACAAACCTATTCCTCAGGGAATATTTATATCATCATAAACTTGATTACAGAGGACTGATTACGTAACTGTAAAATCATTACATCCTTTAAAAACAACCTGTTCAACAACATGAAGTAGGAAATAGTATCTGTGAAAGGATCATGCTTCAATCCAAAAAAGATTCAAGACAAATGTAGAAAGTTTTGGAAGATTTGCTGTGCGCGATGTCCAGTGTAAAAAGAATACCATACGGACAGTCAGACATGACGGTGGTCGTGTTTCATTGATACTCGTCAGAACTCGCATGCACAAAGTTACTGCATGCGGCATTTATGTTTGAGACCAGTGTTAAGAGAGGCACAACTTTTTAGGTTCATAGTATGATTATTTATTCACTTAGGGTCAGATTGGTTTGGCTATTTTACCACCTTTGTTAATTGCATCATTTCAAAACTTCATATTTTTTTATTTTCTCAGGTTTCTAAAAATCTGTTTGATCTGAAACATTCAAATTTAGCCAAAAAGTTGTTTATTTGGCTTCGTGTGCACATTCAGAAGATAATGATAGGTATTCCTAGATCTTTCATAACATGCCTATGCATCTTGCTGTGTTTATTCATATGACCTCCAGACATCAATATTATTCAAATTTTGACACATAGAAGTCAAGAAGCAGTTAATGTGAGCTGTAATTCAGTAAAAACAAACAAACAAACAAACAAACAAACAAACAAACAAAAAAACACAGTCACATATGCATAAGAAGAAAATTGCTGCATTTCTGTCAAAATAAAAAGGGGAGGGCATTTCCTTGACAACAATTGTGTTTTATGGACACCCACAGACGTAAACGCAATGGAGAAGAAACTGGCTGAATACAAGTGTGACACAAATGAAGCGACCTGCCTAAAGTTAGGTAGGTGTTTTTATTTTGGATGACATATGCTCATTTATTTGTTATTAAACATTTTTATTTGACTCTCTTAAGCTCTCAGACTAATCAGTGATCTGTTGCTGTTAGTGCGATTTCCTGAAGACGTTGAGGATGATGGCACCACATTCCACCCAGAGTACAGTCACCAACTATTTGGAGATGAGTGAGTTTTTTACCCCAGCACTGTATACTTGAAGTTGAATTAGCAAGCTAAAACTGACAAGGGGATTTATTTACTTCTGCTGCTTTGACTGCAGTACATTTCCCTAAAGCTGAGAGTCAAAATGATGTTTGGGCAGCCATGATAAAAACATTCTGTGTCTTTATCAGCACCAGAAAACAAATGTTTTATTATTTGCTTAAGGATTTTACAGGAAGATCAAACTTACTACTTTCCTGTGTGTCGTTTGATAATTTTTCTGTTTTTCATTGAGCACTAAAAGGTTTGAGATGCTTTGAGATGTTTGACCCTGCGTCAATTTGGAACAATTCATACCAGTAGTTATACCAGCTGTCCCACTCAGCTTCTCCAGACTAGTGGCAGCAGCTATTAGCTGCAGTTAAGTAGATACGCTTATCATATAAACTAATTCTCAGACTAATGCTCCAAAGAAAGTTGTTAGAGGCTTAATGGAGAAGCGTTGTATGATGAGTATCAGAAAGAGCAGGAGCTTCTTAAAGAGACAGAGACACGATTTCAAGGCATTAAATTGCAAAGTCAAATTTCTTTAAATTTGAAGCAGTAAATTTTATAATACTGTGTTTAAAAAATATTTTTATAACAAGTACTTGATTGTACTATAAATGGTACAACATGTATGGAAAATATACAGTGCTTCCCCTTTAACAACACTGGAAAAAAAAAGTGCTGCAACTGTTCCTACATGGCTTTGTTTTTTT